AGTACTACGGTGATATTACGGGCACCCCTATTAGCACTAACTACTAACCGAGCTCCTCCGGTCTGGCGATAACTTTTGGGAGCGACTTCCGTACTTTGTAAGCACTCCAAATGCATATACAAACTGTAGCCGAGCAGCATACACAGCACGGACTATGCACGTGGGTTTGGCCAGGAGGCAGGTCGGTGTACTATAGGAGTGTGCCGCTATTGTAACATGGGTCCTTCCCTTACAGATATACTAGCGCTTACCCCCAGAGAATATGTATTCCATAGTGCAAGAAGCCCTTACAAAGCACGTGGGCGAGGTACGCAATGGCCCTTAGCAAATATCGCAGAAATACTGTCATTCAAAGTCAGCGCCAGCGCGAACTAGGCCAAGTGTCTTAGGCATGTAAATTTGATCCCTCGCTATTGTTTTCTGAAAACGATTCGAACTTGTTCTGGATGCATTAAGCTAGGTTAGGTTAGCCCATCTTGTACGTACTGGGTTTACCGAGCCGCTCATGATAGCGGACGAAAATCTGTTGGTACTAAGTACACCGACCTGCTTCCTGTGCTTTCATGGGTCTGGCCGTCGCTGTAGCCGTTAGTCTGAATCCCAAACACGGCACAACGGTGCGACTTCATTCAAATCCGGTCCTTCTTCAACTCCGTCGTGGGTATCCTGTTCCTTACAGCAGGTTAAATTCCAAACTCGAGACGTGAACTGTGAGTTCGCAGGCATCGAGTGGAGGAGCAGAAATCAATCACAGTTCGTAGGGTTTCATGGGAAAAGGACATGCGAGATGATGGTGTGTTTCGCGAACATGAAACTAAGAAAGTCGCAGGTTGCAAAAACTGCTGGACCAAAATATTGTTTTCATTATCAGTAACAGAGTGTATTGAATAATCCATTCTGCTACTATCTCCTGCAGAACATGAGCCTAGTGATACATTTCTGAATCGAGAAAACCAACTAACTACTAAGGATGTGGGACCGGTATTCGCGCACCGAATTGTAAAATTTGCTGCTCAAAAGACGAGCATCGTGGCAACTGCGTTTTCAAGTTAACCTCGGATTGCCGCCTAACAAACAAGGATATCTTGTGACAAACCAGGTAACAGGGATGGATTAGCATGCGATGTCACGCTATGGCCTCCAGGGTACAATTTCTTCCTTGTTCTCTAAACAAAGCTAGGAAGCGATCCCTATGGTAACATACTCTTGGGAATGTTGACCCGATTGTCGGTCCGCATGGTAGAGCCAGTGTAAGGGTACCATGTGTCACCTCGACCCGACTTTTCTCAAGGGGGGGAGCACTGACATAGCCGGATAAGAACGTCGACCAAGATCAAATTAAATCATAGTCTCAATCACTAAACAAGGCGTTATATATTCTGTAGAATGATTAAGAGTTGTTACAAAAGTAGAGAATTATTTACTTAGGTATTTTAGATATCTAGGGAGCAAATTGTAGGGGATAAATTGCATTGTCACCCTGTTTTCATCTGGCTATTGCGGTCTCCCGCGAGTCGGCAACATTGTGCGCTAGAAGCTGCTGAGACCAGAGCTAAGAGTTCTGTCCGAGACTTCAAGTAAAATCCACGCGTGAGGTTGGGAAGGAAATTACATGAACTTGAAGCGCCGTTTTTTTGTGGAACGCATCAAGAAGAGTAAGAACGAGTATCAAGCCGAAACCTGGCCGAGCCTAGCGTAAGTACAACACTTATGAGGGCATTGTGCACGAGCACACGCGTTTCATGATTGATCATGCACGAGAACATGGATACTATTTGGTGATGGTAGGCCAATATCTAGACGATTCAGAGGAAAACCGGTACCAGGGTCCTTTGACAGGAAGGCCGTTTCGTAAGCCACGTACCAAAGCGTGGTTGTAGTGTTCACGTATATTGCGTGTCCGGATTGGTCCTGAAAACATCTCTTTGCAGACTAGCGACGCTACATTGATCAACAAAATTGATTGATCTGTATAAGAAGACGACTTGAAAGAGAAGAGGATGGCGTGATAGATGTTTTTTCGGCTGTGTTGGTGATGGAAGAGAAGGTGGCTTGGACATGTTCACTATGTCCATGGTTATGTCCATGTGGCAGGGAAGGAGCACGGTCACATTGGCTTGGCGCTGGACGGGGCCGGCGGGGTTATGCCCGGACCAACAAGTCGACGTTCCCTAACGCCTTTGACCAACCCCACAGCCACTAGCGCGTGCATGTGCTTAGTGAGCCAGCCTGCTGATAAAGCACCGTACTGCTTTTTGTTTTCGCGTGCCAACCAGATTGCGTGCTGTCCTGCTTAGCAATATGCATGTGATTTCCATCTTGGCTTTCCACTTTAGTTCTGCGATGGATACGTCATGGACAAATCCCCTTTCCCTATCTGCTCGTCTACCGCTGCCTCACCCAGGGTTTTGGTGCGGTGATTAGAATGTCGCATGCGCTTTGTAAGATATCCGCATTACAAAACCTTGGCGCAATGGATTTACCAAGCAAGTCCGTAGAACTTTGCGTGCCCCGAAGAAGAGATAGGTGTGGGATACAAGATAAATGTAATCCAGCGTCGCTTGACAGTAATTGCATCAAACCAATCCACACATCATCAACCACTTCACCACAAGAACATCCTTCCTCCCAGACTCACCACTCACCCCTTGTCCTTTATCGAAGAATACCCGAACCAATCAGAGCCCCGAACAACTTCTGTAAAATGGTATCGGCCCTCATTCGGGACGCCCCAATTGGGCAGATCCTGAGATATCTTACCAACAACCGCCTACTCCAGTATCCCGAGGAACGCCCAGACTTTGTCATACCCGCAGCCTACGCTCGACACACACGCCCACTGCCCAAGCGTCTAAGCTCAGAATCCTCTCGCGATCCACAGATTGAACATGAAGGTCCTGCAACAGAAGAAGTGTGCAATCGACCAGCCGTAGAAGCATCAGTGGAAAGGCGAGATTCCGAGAGCGAAGATGAATCTGCCACCGATTTGGAAAAGGTCCAAACCGCACGAACGCAGCACACTGCACGAACGCAAATTTCCCGCGTAGGAACACGAACAGCCTTGCACAAGTCAATTACCCAGGCAGATCTCGAACAGCAATTCTCACTAGCAACCGTAGAGCGCGGGCCCAGCCGTCCAATCGAGCCCGAGACTCTCGGCGATGGTACCATACTGGTAGACTGGTATGACACGGATGATGAGTCCAACCCGCAAAACTGGTCGTTTGGCAAGAAAGCCGTCGTCCTCAGCCTCATCCTTGTGTACACCATGGGCGTGTACATGGGCAGTGCAATCTACAGTTCCAGTATACCTGGTGTCATGGCACGATTTGGCGTAGAAATCGGAGCCGCCTCCCTCGGTCTGTCAATGTACGTGTTGGCATACGGCATTGGACCTCTCCTGTTCTCGCCATTGAGCGAGATCCCAGTCATCGGTCGAAACCCACCGTACATCATCTCCTATGCCATCTTCGTCATTCTGCTAGTCCCAACCGCACTGGTCGACAACTTTGCCGGACTCATCGTACTCCGCTTCCTACAAGGCTTCTTTGGAAGTCCCTGCCTGGCTACTGGCGGCGCCACCCTCCAAGACATCTACAGCCTGATCAAGCTCCCCTACGTCCTCTCCCTCTGGGCCTTCGCTGCAACCTGCGGCCCAGCCCTCGGCCCCATCATCAGTGGCTTCAGCGTCGCAGCCGAGAACTGGCGCTGGTCGCTCTGGGAAATGCTCTGGATGAACGGACCCATCTTCCTGGCCCTCTTCTTCTTCCTCCCAGAGACCTCCTCGGCAACCATCCTCCTCCGCCGCGCCCAACGCCTCCGCCGCCTCACCGGCAACGACAAGCTCAAGAGCCAATCGGAAATCGACCAGGCAAACCTCACTCCCCGGGCCATCGCCACCGAAGCTCTCTGGCGCCCCTTTGAACTCATGCTGCTGGACCCCAGCATCGCCTTCACCGCCGTCTACACTGCCATCGTGTACGGAATCTTCTACTCCTTCTTCGAAGCCTTCCCCCTCGTCTACAACGCAATGTACCACTTCAACCTCGGCGAAATGGGCCTGACATTCCTGTCCGTCACCGTCGGCGTCATCATCAGCATAGCATGGTACTGGTGGTACATCTACTACCGCGTCGAGCCCAGCATCCGGCTTCACGGTCTCGGTAGCCCGGAGCGCCGCCTCATCCCCGCCTTGTTCGTTACCTTTCTCGTGCCCATTGGCCTCTTCATCTTCGGATGGACGAGTAACCCGGATATCCACTGGATCGTCTCGTGTATCGGTATCGTTATCACAACTATTGGTATCTTCCTGATTATCCAGTGTATCTTCCTTTACTTGCCACTGGTGTACCCCCAGTACGCAGCTAGTTTGTTTGCTGGCAACGATTTCCTCAGGAGTGCCCTGGCAGCCGGTGCCATTCATTTCTCCTACCCGCTTTTCCACAATCTGGGTGTCGACCGTGGTGTGACGCTGCTTGCGGGCTTGTCCGCAGGATGTAGTGTTGGTGTCTATGTGCTGTACTTTTTTGGAGCCAAGTTGAGGGCCAAGAGTAGGTTTGCTGCCAAGTAAACATTGTGCCGCCATCATACATGCGAAAATGTCTTAGATTTTTTTTTGATGCGTTCAAGTAAGGCGTGTGAGCAAAGATAATATATAGATAGTAACGATATTATGAATTTCGTTTCCAGTTAATCATCATGCCATGTATCCCTTGAGTACCATGTCCAATGTTTTCATTTCGATAAATGTACAGAAGGAAGTAAGATAGATATGTGATCAAAGCGGAAAAGCTAAACTTTTTCAATAAAAATTTCTTTAGTTGGGTATCGTATTTCGTTAACCATTGAGTCGTATTGTCGCATGGCTAGCTTGCAAATTCAGGTGATTCCCCATCACCCATTCAACTACTAGGACATACCCATCTGATGGATTTTCTACTCCCACAAAGCTCACTCTTGGCCCCAGGTATCGTCGTCACCAACATGTCCCACAATCTCCACGCCCTGCTCTTCCTGAAATGCTACTTGCTTATTTTTCCCCCTCTTTTTCTTTCCTTTGCCATTTTCCTTGTTCGCAGCTCCGTCACCCAAGGGATTTCCGTCTTCGTCAATGCCAGCTAGCTCTCGTTGGCGTTTCCTTTCCTGCGCCTCTGCGTGTGCGGCTGCGATGCGTTCTTTAAACTCTGCTTCCTTGGCAGCCATCTGACGCTTGATCTCATCTGCGTCAGCAAACGACTCTTCTGTCTTGTTCGATTTCTCGAGGAAGACGCTCCAGCCACCATTGGTCAGTTCGCTGCGACCTTGCAAAGCTTCCTTGACGCCTTGAGGGTTCTCGCGTTCTTCACGGGTGAACTTTGTTTTGATGGAGCGCCGTGTAAAGCCTGGAAACATTTGGGATATCATTTGGAAATCGGTGCCGAAAGATCGGAGGCCCTGATAGAAGAGTTCGGTAAGCTCGCTATCCCAGCGGCGTCCTTGGCCTGGTAGGAGAAACTCATTGGGGAAACGCTTGTTGTTTTTCATGAAGCTACGGGTGGTTAGGCGAGCGGTGATGTCTTGGTCTTCAGTGACGACCATTGCGTCCAGCTCCCTTTCCGCGTCACCTCCTCGATCGATTGTTCCAGAGTCGGGTTCCAGCTCCATGATACCATCTGCGTTCAGTCGGAGTCGAGGTCTTTGTTCGGCTTGTGCAGCGATTTGTGCCCCTGCCTCGGCTAGAGCCCTGTCTGCTGCTTCCTGTTCTGCTTTGGACATTATGACCTTCGAGTCTTCCTCCCTCCGACGCCGTTTGACCGCCTCCCAGTCTATGGTACGCATTTCCTTCTCTCGGGCAGACAGCTTTCCCCAGCGGACTGTACGGGCGGCGAGAGAGTCCATGTAAGTAACATCGGGGTCGATGACCTGGTTTTCTGCATCTGGTGGGGTAGCCTCCCGTGGTGGTCGTCCCTTGCGCTTCTTTTCCCGCATCGTGCCAGCATCGCCCTCGACCCCATCGATTTCCTCGCCCTCGGTAGTGGCTCTCTTTCTTCTTCTTGCCTTGGGCTTGGGTTGTACAGCAGCAGCTACAATCTCGTCGGCGATGCGTCCGACCTCGCTCTCAGGCCCCTCGACAACCTCGCTGCTCAGAGCGGCCTTGGCCTTTTTAGGTTTCCTCGTTTTCTTTGGCACAGCTGGTGTATCTTGGTCGTCTTGAGCAGTAGCAGGCTCGATAGCGTTCTTCCTTGCGCGAGGTTTGGGGGGCTGGGGAGAAGTTTGGGCAGGTGCAGCAGCAGCCGCTCCTTCCCCATCGCCCCCGGTGGGGTCATTTACCGCTACCCAAGATGGATTCCTCCGCTTTCGTGGTTGCGGAAGTGCCTGTGAGTCACTGGGGTGTTGCACAGTGTCGGCGCCTGGTGACTGTGCTCCATCCTGCACTCCTGCCGGATCTGGCTGCTGGTGTGGGCTTGCTTCGTCTGTGTGTTGCGTCGGCTCTGCGGGGGGTTCTATGCGCCGTCTCTTGGGGGATCTGCCGGCTTGGATATCGTCCTCGAGGTACTGGGTAGTCAGGCCCTGGGCTGGTGGGTGCTCTACGGCTGGATGTGACTCTCTCTCTGCTTGCGACTGAACATGTGCATTGGTCGGCGCAGGGTCTGGCGGAGCGTCGCTAGGCGTAGGATCGACTGTCACTGCGAGGTCTTGTGTCGCAACTGGGGTAGGTAATTGGGCAGGAGTGGATGGTGCGACGGCGGGCGCATTCGAGGGCTGGGGCTCTGCCTGCGGTTCTGCAGTGGATGCTGGTGTTTCTGGCGCAGGCGTAGATGCTGACGCTGATGTCGAGCCAGCCACAGAGGCAGCGGCTGGCCGTCGTCGTGCAGCTTTGGGCGCAAACTTTTTGCCCGTCGTGTTCTCTAGTCATGACTTAGCCCAGTCGGTGGTGCATTGGGGTGACATGGGACGACGCACTGTTGATGAATGAACTAAATGTTGCTGCGGCCTTGGGCGCCGGCGCCTTGTCACTGCCCGTAGCCGCAGCCGACGGCTGACTGGGGCCTTGGTCTGCAGACATGGTGGTGTTGGGGCGCGCTGGCTGATCTCAAGTCCCTCGTTGTCACATCGGGCAGAGAGATAGAGAAAGAGAGATAGAAACAGAGGGCGTGGCGGCGCGCGCCCCCGACACAGACCACACCTGCGTGGGCTAGCGCGACACTAGCCACCCGCTTGGCACCCAAGCAACTCTCTTCGCTCGACGCCCACCGTCTCCTCGCTCACCACCTGCTGCGACGGCCTCACACGACACTCCCCCCCAATCTCCCCCTTCCGCTGCCATCACGACGCCCGCCAGCCGCCCGCTTGCATCTCGGCCGCTCGTTCGCTGCTCCCTTCATGGTCTGATCGCGTGCGCGTCTCGCTGCCCCTTCAGACAAAGCCGGCGTCTCCTCGATGAGGCTCGAAGCCAGGACCGTCGCACCCCCATCGCTTGACGCTGTCAAGATGGAGGACCGCAAGCGGCCCATCACCGACGACGCCGCTCCTCCTGCAAAGAGGCAGGCCGTGGCGGTCAACGGGGCCCGCTCTCACCCCGACGCTGACCTGCCCTGGAAAGATGATCTTGAGGTTCGCCCCCCTCCCCCGATCACCGCCCGTCTTCGCTACCGGCCCCGGCGCACGCCCCTGCTGACACTGCAACGCCATAGGCTTTCCAGAAGGATGCTATTCTCCGCCAGATGCGCGAGTTCAAACGCGAAAAGGCTACCGTCGAGTCACAACTGAGCGAGTTGGAGAGCCGTTCGAAGCACCACGACGCCCATCTGCGAACAATTGATGCTTGGTTTGATCAGGTCAGTATACCCTCGGGTTTTGATTGAGGTGACGCTAATGCTTTCTTAGCTTATCGATGAAATCAAACTCCGGGGGGCTGACGAGCTGCCTGCATCATCGTCCGCTTCCGAGTCTGCTCCCTCAATCCCTGCCGCCCTTCTTGGTGACGACAATGAGGCCTTTAAGCAACACCTGTCTAAACGCAGGGAAAAGATTCTCTCTTCACTTTCCTCTCTTTTTGCCAAGTTTCCTGCAGCCAGCCCCGAGGTCGCTCAACTTCAGAAAAGGCTGTCCGAACTTCTAGCTAGCGAAAAGGATCATGTCATTCGACTCCAGCAGGTTGCGACAGAAAAGGAGCAATTGTCGGACCGACTGGACACCGCTACTCACCGCTATCTCGTTGCTGAAAAGAAACTTGATCGATTGAAAAGTGCTCAGGTTCAGAAGCTTGAGCAACAAGCAGTTGGGACCAGCACTGTAGCAAAGGAAGAGCCTCCTTCAGCCAGCAACGGAACAGATGCAGTCAATGGCACCTCACCAGGACCAATCAGTGAGGAACTGGAGACTGCAAAAAACCAAGCGTTGGCTGAGGCGGCTAAGAGGAAAGAACATCTTGAGCAGATTGAGCAGGAGAACAAGAAGCTTACAGAAGAGATCACGGCATTGAAAGTCAAGCTTACCGGGCTCTCCGACGATGATTATGCAAAGACAGATCTGTTCAAGGCGATTAAAAGTCAGCATGAAGACGTTATTAAGCGCATCAACAACCTGGAGGCCCAAAACATTTCTTTGCGCGAGGAAGCGCAAAAGAGTCAGGCTGAGCGAACAGCATACCGGATCAAAGTGGACGAGGAAGTGCGTACGACCCTGGCGGAACACGCAAGCCATGTTTCACAAGCAGAAGCAAACTGCGCTCGTATCCGAAATGCCCGCGACGAGCTTGTAAGTAAGAACAACGTACTGGAGGCCAGCCATAAGGATTCCAAGGAGTCTATTGAGCAATCAAAGCAACTCGTGAGTGCTTGTGACAGTCGGATTGCGGCGCTTGAGTCAGAATGCGAGCGACTGCGACTTCAAATTGCCGAACAGCAAGCATCCATGGGACAGCAATCCATGGAGCTGGACGACTTGACTCCCGAGCAGTTGCGGGCCAAGGTTTTGAAGCTGGAGAGCCAAGCACAAATCTTGAGTAACGAGTTGCCAGCCATGGAAGCAGCATGGAAGAAGGCGCAAGCCATTGCAAGCAAGAAAATTGCCGAGATTGCGACATGGGAGGAGAATATTGCCAAGGCACATGCAGACAAGGCCAAGGCGGATCAAAAGTTCTTTGCCGCAATGAAGACCAAAGGCGAGTTGGAACAGCAAATCCGGATCCTGCGGGCCCAGTCGACCAAAGCCACGGAGGTTGTGGCACAGTTGAAAGAAGCAGATTCGCTCAGTCGGTCATTGGTAGACAAACTGGAGAAGCAAACAGCAGAAATGCGATCGCAGATGGACGAGCTTTCTATTCAGCACCGGCAGTTGCAACAAAAGGTCAGCGAGAACGCCATTACGTCCGAGGGCCAGGTCAGCCAAATTGCGGAGCTCAAGAAGCTTGTCGAAGCCAAGGACGCAACGTGCCTGGCGGCAAAGCATGCGCAACGCGAATCGGAAACGGAACGAGACAAGCTGGCAGCGCAAGTTGCTGGACTGGAGAAGCAGGTGCAAATCTACAAGAAGAAGAGCACGGCCAACCAGAGCTCCGAAGTGTCGACAATGGAGCTGCTGATCCAGTGTCAGATTTGCAAGAGCAAGCTCAAGAACACGGTTATCAAGACGTGCGGGCACATGTTCTGCGACCAGTGCGTGCAAGACAGGCTCACAAACCGAGCGCGCAAGTGTCCCAACTGTGGCAAGGCCTTTGGCAGTAACGACACGATGCGTGTGCATTTGTAATATCTACTACGACTTCTGCCTGGCTTCCCTTTTTCCAAGTACCCGGTGTGTCCTGTATATTAGCTGCATTTCTTTGTGTAACCCTTTTTTTCTTACTACCATTTTACAAGAGCGTGGAGGGCAAGTTCTGAGGCCAAGCACCAGGGGGTGCCTTGGATACGTTGGCGTTCTACGGGTGGCTATGGGCCGCATTCCATACATAGCGTTGGTGTTTTGGCAGCGCGGGAGCATGTACGATCAGAGTTGTGTGCATGTTCAGACGACATGAGTTCGCATGTTTTACTAGATGGCCTGAGGGTACTTTCTCGGTCTCAGCAATGTTTTCAATGGGCGCGGGCTAGATAAACATGATAGGTTGTATGCAAGTTGGGGGAGTGATGCGAGGAAGAGAATGCCAAAGCAATTAGTATGGACTGTCTGTGCAAAACAAAGGCGAGTGGACCAACGGTGACTCACCCAACCCTGACAGGGCCCACGGGTGGAGAGGACAGGCAGTGACAGCCAACCAGCTGGGGCGTCGTTGCCCAAACCGGGCAGAGATCCCAGCCTGGAAGGAGGCAACCACGCCCGGGTAATGACGTGAAGGACGCGTTCCCTGCCGTTGCCCCACGCGACATACCCACTGTAAACACGTGCAAAGTCGACTACTCTTACCACCACAACCCGACGCGGCCAAAGCATAAAGGAATAGCTCTGCCTCGACTTGACACTGGTTGCATTCAGCTTTTTACACTACCAGAGACATAAAAAAAAAGCAAAAACAAACGTTACACAAGTAAAGCGAAAATACAGCGACATTTATCTTGCATCACCACCACCAAATCCACCTTAACTCAATGACTTCCAACGTCCTTGCAGCGCGCGACACTAATTCAAAGGTCAAGGCCATGGAGTCACCAGAGAATACCAAGATTAAGAGTCTTGAGTACCATCGTCAGGTTCTACACTCGCGCCTCGATGACAAGCAGTACGTTGCGCCAGGCATGCACCTAACACAGTAGCGTCATACTAACGTCAAGATAGGGAGTCAAAGTACGTCTCGCCATCCGACGACATTATGAGTCCGGCCACGCAGAAGCTGCAGGCCTTCAAGACCAAACACGCCATGAAGAAGTAAGTTGTGCCGTCCACTTTCATGCGCCCAAGGCTATCCGAGCATGTGAGTTAACCAAGCTACAGGTCAAAGCCACAGACACTGTTCAAGAAGGCGAGCTCTAAGAGTCTCGAGGCCAGCAAAGGCAGCGGCTCGCTCATGTTTGCCGATATCCCAAAGGGTGATGCGGGCAAGCAAGATGCAGAGGCCTAGAGGCGACATTGCTATTTTCGCCCGGGCGCCTGGGTTGTGGGTTTTTTCACGTGCGGGGCATACCCTTTTCTTTCATGACCATGGTGTCGGTTTGTTTGGGCTGGTTCGGGCTAGGCTAGGTCTCATGGTACAATGGACCTCATTGGAGTTTTGGGCACCCTGGTAGGGTAGTATTATGAATATGACGACTCTGCAGCTGTAGACGCTGCGACATCAATGAACATTATTCGAGCCTAGTCTACTCTGTGCTCATGTAAAGCGTATGCATGCACCAGAATGGATCCCTGGCTGTGTTCGGTAATCTCGCCAAGGCCACGCGTTGTGGCCTTTCGCTAGCCGCATCCACTTCCGACCTCCAAGATGAAACCACCACGCCAGGACCAGCAAGCCCTGTTGGATGAGGTAGCAGACCTCGAAAGACGACTACAGGATGCAAAGGCCCGGCTGAATCCAGATGGCGTAGTTGCGACTCCCCCTTTCTCGTCGCCTCCCAATGCCGGTACATCTCCGCCCGTACCTTCCTTCTCACCCGCAGAACAAGACGCTGCCCTGCATGCCCTACTCTTGCTCGCCGACTCAGCCCTACCACTGGGGTCTTTTGCTTTTAGCAGTGGCTTAGAATCGTACCTCGCGCACCACAAGCCAGCGACGCCCTCGGCATCACAGCTGCCCGCCTTCAACACGTTCCTCCGCCTCTCTCTATCAACACTCGCCAGCACGTCGCTCCCATACGTATTTGCCGGGTATCGCGATCCACAAGAGATTGAAACACTGGACAATGACTTTGATGCGAGCACGCCGTGCACTGTGGCACGACGGGCCAGCATAGCACAGGGCCGGGCGCTGCTTGCTGTTTGGGATCGAAGCTTCCGAGCGCAGTACAACAGCCCTGAGCGACATGTGCGCGATTCCAGCTTGAACGGCGTAGCAGCCAAGAGTCCAGCCGTCGAGGCGCTTGCGTCCTTCTCTGCCGCCCTCCGCACCTCGGAGCACATAAACGCCCACCTTGCCCCGCTATGGGGCCTCATCACCAGCATCCTACATGTTCCACTGCAGCAAGCTGCCTATCTGTTTCTATTCTCGCATGCGAGGACAGTGGTCAGCGCTGCTGTGAGAGCTAGCGTCATGGGCCCTTATCAGGCGCAAGCGGTGCTGGCGAGCGCAGAGCTGCAAGAGAGGATTCGTGGGCTGGTTGACGAAGGCTGGGATAAGACGGTCGAGGATGCAGGACAGAGTGTGCCAGTCATGGACCTCTGGGTTGGTAGACACGAGAAGTTGTATTCGAGAATCTTCAATTCATGACGAAGAGACAATCCATTATCCTAGACAAACGGGCATCCTGAGCTTACTTGGTAGCACGTGCATGTTCGAGCGATTTCTCATCTTTTTGTGGCAGAAAATGCTCGCCATGTAACTGCGGCCACAACAGGTAGATTCAGTGTTATCTAAACACAGGCTTTTGGTGAGTGTCTGGTCTTGGGTAGTTTCAGCCAGTAGCCGTGCTACAACGACCTCGTGCTTGGTCGATTCGCGCAAACAACCATTTTGCTGACACCGCGTGACCGCTCGCTGAACCACACGTGCAATACAGCATCCGACGTGGCCAGACACTGGCACTGCTTCTTTTCTGTAGGACACTCTGTCAAACCATGGATACCTGGGAGTGCCACGAGCATTGCGACTGCACCATCTCAGACCCATCACCATGCTATCCTCAAGTATAACCAGATGGATCTCAAGTATCCTCACTCTGACTAGTCCATCCAACAATGTGAATCAAGCTCCTCTTTTTATTCCCACCATTAGGTTCCCATGGATCCAAAGTTTTGCTTCGATAGGCGACTCGTACTCTGCTGGTCTCGGTTCAGGACATCGCCTCGACTGGCTCTGCTCACGCTATACACACTCTTACCCCAATATACTGCACAATTCTCTCCTAGGTACGAATCCAAACCGAACTCATACGTTTCTTGCCTGTTCCGGCGCCACCAGCACCGAAATCCTCGCTACTCAGGTGCCAGCACTGCCCCCTAACCTCGATCTGCTCACCATATCAGCGGGTGGCAACGATGTCGGGCTTACTGGTATCCTAAGCGCATGCATCTACCAATTCTACATGGCCGCCGAAGACGCCTGCACAGAGGCCATCGACAAAGCACGCGCCCGCATCGCCAACGAGACAGAATTATACCACAACACCAGCCTCCTGATCGACGCCGCAAAGCAAAAGATGAACCCACAGCACGGCAGCATTTACTACACGGGATACGCGACCTTCTTCGGCGCCGATGACGAAGCATGCGACAACGTAACGTGGGCGATATGGAAAGACGTCGAGTGGGAGAAGCAATACCTCACTCGCGACCTACGCGGCAAGCTCAACGACATGGTCCACAGCGTCAACAGCATTCTCGCACGAGCAGTCCAAGATGCCGGGTCGGGCGTCCGCTTCATCGACTACGATGCAGAGATTTGCCAGCTACGGGGCCGGTACTGCGAGAGCGGTGTTGTTGAGCCTGCGCCGAACCGGGCTGGACTGGCGTTTTACGAGTGGGCGACGGTGGATCACGGCGAGAATAGCACGGCGTTGTTGAATCAGACGGGGGATGCGGTGCCGAGGTTTTCGTTCCAGGGGGGGATTGCGAGGGAGGTGGATAAGACGTTGGAGAGGCATCCGGGTTGGGAAATCGAGCATGGCAAGGGGTTTGTGGACAAGGAGAGGCATGGCGGCGGCGATGGTGGTGTTGGAGGAGAGGGGTGGCTGGGTGATGAGCTTCACTGGCTGCTGCCGGATAGCTATAAGAGGGTTTTTCATCTGAGACCCATAGGACATGAAGTTATTGCACGGATGCTGGTGGAGGATTTGGACAAGAGGAGTGTAGGGCAGCGGACAGACGTTGAGGAGCTGTGATTTATTTATGTAATTGATGAAATAAGTGTTTAAGATGGTTGCTATCTAGGAAGTTTATTGTTTGCAGAGGCTGCACAGGGTGACCAGAAGAAAATTCAGATATGAATCTTTGTGTGCATGGTTGAAGCTGTTTTGTCCCTAGGTTGGAAGGAAAGAAGGAAGGAACCACCGCCTTCGTCTCAGGCCCCTTTCCCCACTCAAAATCTATATCAACTTCTCAAGACCAAAGGCTTCACACCATCACCACACATCCCTCTCGCGCACTGGGTAGTGCGTTCAAGAAGAGCAGAACACAATGCATCAATCAGGGGAGAGACGTGGATGAACAGCCGAGACCAACTGTTGTCGCATTGTCAACGACATGGTTGTGTACTAACATAAAAATATAGATTTATGAATTGCGCATACATGCAGTAAAAGTCCGCACGGGGGGGACATGGTATCCTTTCCAACCCTTACTTTTTGGAGAAAATAACAGGAGGTGTGTAAACGCCAGGGAAATGCCATCCATCAACGCCAGGGAGAAAATCATCAATCATGATCGTCGTTTGCCAATGCGACCGGGTCCGGCCGTCTGGCCCTTGAAGGGCTTGAGGGCACCTTTGCCTCGCGAGGTGGGGAAGGAGACCTTGTTGGAGGGCTTGCGACGAAGCTGTTTGCGGGTCTGGCTCTTGTCCTTGGGCTTGTTGGAGGAGCTCTTTGCGGAGGTGGAGGTGGTGGCAGCGGGAGCGCCGTCGACGTCCATGTCTGCATCAGGATGGAGTTAGCCCTTGATTCTTACCCGACCAATGTGGAGGGAGTGGGTCAAAGGCAAACTCGAGATGGCCGTCTGTGGTGAAGCCAACGACATCGGAACATAAGCCCAGGTGGAGGCACAGATTCCTGAGGTCACAATCGTCCTGTGCTGCATCGAGGGGCTTTGGGGAGGGGTCGGACAGGGAGCGTGGTATGGGAGCAGTGAGAAAAGACGAACCTTTGGGCAAGTCGTCCTCGTTGGCGGCGGTGGTAGTCTCGGCTGCGGTGTTGGCTGGTCGCATGTTAGCAGGTGGGCATGCGCGAGAGGATGCGACCGGCTTACTGTCTTCAGCAGTGTCCATCTGGTTGCTTTCTGGCTTGGGCTGCTGGACTGTCTCGAGAAGTTTGGCGTGCAGGCGTTCCATGCGCGCCTGCTCGACAGGGCCAAATACTCTGGCGCGCAGCTTTGTGCGGTTCGCCTTTTTGCTACTTGCGCGGAGGCCCTTTGCCATTTTGGTGTGTGTGCGTGATTTGGGTATGTGTTTGTGTATGGGGAGAGAATATGGGCGTGTACGTTGGAGAATGCAAGTATCTCGTTCGGCGGGCGGGTCGTCGGGTGGGGAAAATGCAAAAGCTGGGAATAATAATTTTGGTGGCGAGGCACCAGGGCGAAACCCACGCCGGCCCGTGCTCGGGTCGCGTTCTTCGCCGAGTGACGCTGACTGCCTTGGGGCACACACGCTGGCAGCACCTGGGACATGGGCCCGCCGCCAGACCCGCCGCCATCGTCGACGACGGCCACTTGACATACACCGCGAGGCGCCTTTGTTGCTGCTTGTCGGCCTGCACTGCACCGCACAACACGGCACTCGACTACACGGCACTGCGCCGCCGCCGACCGAGTCTGGCAGTAGAGAGAAGTTGCGACCAGCATCCGCCCGGCCAGCTGCCTCGACGGCCCTTCACTTCACCACCGTCTTCCTCTCACCCTCGCCCGCCTCCAGACCCGAGACCTCCTCGTCCATATAGCTCTCGATATGCCTTCGCCATACCCGTAGCATTTCACCCTCAGATCCCCAAACCCGCCTGGCCCTGTCTGCCGCGACACCAAAACCCATCCGCCTGTCCTCGCACACGCACACGAATACCCAGCATGGAGGCGACGCTGCAGCATACGGCTGCCACCATCACGGAGCGCTCAAAGAGACTCATCAACAATGACCTCAAGAAGATCCTGAAAGAGGAGGGCAAGGCCCAGACGGGCAACAAGGCTGCCCTCCAAGCTCGCGTCATTGATTGTACGTGCATGTTCTGGGCGCCGCCTCGATGCTTTTCACCCCTCGTCCTGCTAACACTCACCTTCACTAGTAATCTCCGATGCCGTCTCCAGAAGAGACCATGAGCAATTGCGCCGCCTGCACCATCGCGTGCAGCACCACGGTGAAGCGCCGCCCCCAACAGCAACCAGCCCGGCTGCTCCTTCATACTCGCAACCACCCCCGCCCCTTACAAACAGCTACGCCATGTCCAATGGATACCCATCCAACGGCGCGCGCCAACCGCACCAGCACCACCAGGCCGCACTGCCACCTCGTATGTTGGCCTCAGTTGCGCCCGCGTGCCTGACTACAGTAGTACTGATGACGAAACCAGGTCCCACGTACTTTTTCAAAGACAGCCCCTTCTTCGAGATACGCGAGCTTGTGCTCACAAACATGTCGCTAGAAGGTATGTTTGCCCTTCTCGCCGCCATCTGCCCTTCTAGGCTAACCATATGCCAGCTTCTCCAACTCACAGAGCCACGCTCTCAAAGAGCCTTACCCTGAATGAGGCTCAGACAGGGCGCTTAAACTCCGATCCGTCCTTGCGACTGCTGCTCTTCTCTGCGCTTGAGCAGCCGCTGGCTCCTTACTCGCGTCTCGACATTGCATTTCCTTCTCAGATCGAGGTCAAGGTCAACGATGCAGAGGTCAAGGCAAATTACAAAGGCCTTAAGAATAAGCCAGGCTCGACGCGTCCGGCTGATATTACCGACTTTGTCCGCACAAAAGTCGCCAATCAGCGCAACAGCCTCCTTATCACTTATGCCCTGACCCAGAAGGCAAGTCAATCAGAGGTTTCTTTGCACTCGAGCTCCCCTGAAATGCGACTTCAAGCTAACAGTCATCTGCAGAAATATAACCTATTTGTTTACTTGGTGCGGAAATTCTCAGTCGAAGAATTGACCCAGCGTATCAAGCGCCGCAATGTCATTACTAGGGGATCTGTGCTAGAGGAGAGTAAGGCGCCCCCCCCTTGCGCGTCCGGTACCAAACTCAACTAACCCGTCATTAGTGATGAAGAAGGCCAATGACCCAGATATCGAAGTGGGATCGAGCGTCATGTCACTCAAAGATCCAATTTCCACTCTGCGAATCGTCACTCCCTGCAGATCTACAGTCTGCACACATAACCAGTGCTTCGATGCAGTCTCTTTTCTCCAGCTCCAGGAGCAAGCGCCCACATGGACCTGCCCGATATGCAACAAGATCATATCCTTCGAGGCACTTGCTGTTGATGAATACGTTCAGGACATTTTGAGCAAAGCCCGCAACACGGACCAGGTCACTATTCAGCCAAACGGCGAGTGGTCGACCGAAAAGGAGCTAAAACCCAAGCATAACCATGACGACGATAGTGACGATGACCTCGTTGAGATCACTGACTACCGCGTCCAGGCTATCAAGAGTGAAGCCGCACCAACCCCTACCTCGCTCAGTACGCCTCCGTTGCCCTCTCGAGAACCATCCACTGCACCTCGCTCCACACAAAAGAGGACCTCTGAGGTTGTCGACCTGACATTGAGCGATGATGAAGAGCCAGCGAGGCCAACTAAAAAGGTAGCGTACACTACTACCCCCAATAGCATTCCAGATGCATCGCGTCGGTACCAGTTGCCTCCTTTGGCAACTACAAGACGCCCGCCACCACCACCGGCCTACCACTCGAGTTCTGCCAACGTACGCCCGGAATATTCCCGCCCTCCATCTACACCCCCATCGCGCCACGCTTATCATTCCTATCGGCCCGCGCAGCCTGCACGGCCTAGCTATCCTGGACAGGGTACCTCCACCTACCCCACGCACATTGGCTCTTCCTCGCCTTGAAACATGTGCTGCGCTTTCTAGTTGTCTATTACCATTGATGTATAAGTACATATTTGTTCCCGTGCTAACGTAATTTGCCCTCACAGGGCAGAAAGTAGACGAAGTAGTACGCCACCTGTCCAAGCCGCCTATTCCAACGCAGTCTCACTTGATTGTGGGCGCCCCGGGTGGGTGGATGGAGCGGAGTACTCCTCTTTCTTCCTGATTTGACATGGGGATTTAGCGCGAGGCGTTTGGAGGGCGACATCTCATGATCATCTATCTGCTTACGGCGTACTGAGGGATTGGACAACATTGGGGATACCACCACATGGAAGGATTACACATGTTTGAATGGCCATTGTAAGCAAGCTTTTGGGACGAGAAAACAGAATGAAAGCTGCGTGCCCAAGTAAAAGAAGGTTTGCCGAGTGGCGAACACGAGTCGGGGTTACGTTGAACCGTGTAATAACAAAAATGCAGTAGATAACCCTTTCGGCTTAGGCCACAGCTAATCATTCGAGTTTGCTATGAAATCCAGCCGTATTTATGGCTGCCACGGTCCTTTGGCAAACCCACCGCTGATGTTTTCCGCTTCCCCATTCTTTCTGACTACGAGGACATCCTCGTGACGCACGCCGAATTTGTTGAGAAGATAAACACCAGGTTCGGCGGTGAAGACCATGCCTGGGCGCAATATGGCTATGGAGTTGCCTTTGTTGAGGTATGGGCTCTCGTGTGCCTTGATGCCGATGCCATGTCCCAGGCGGTGGGTAAAGTAATCGCCGTAGCCTGCAACTTGGATAATGCCGCGTGCGGCAATATCCACCGAGGCGGCGGTAGAACCCGGTACCATTGCCTTGACAGCAGCAGTCTGTGCAGCTAGCACAAGCTGCCAAACCTCTAGTTGCTGAGTCGTATTGTGTTCCGACGTCACTCGCGGCGCTGGTTCCAAAGGTGGATAGAATGTGCGAGTCACATCTGAACTATATCCATATAACTTTGCGCCAACATCAATGAGGACAAACATGCCAGCATCCAACTTCCTAGTCCCGTCATACCCGCCGTGTGGCAAAGCAGCGCTCTTCCCAAACTCCACAATATCAAAGAACGGGTCAAGCCCAGCGGCTCGTAGCGTATCGTCCAACACATGTCTGACCTCATTCTCCGTCACCCCACGGTAGAGGCACTGTCTCATGGCACGAATAGCTTCCACCGTTCCCGTATTGACAGCTTTCAGAATGCCAATCTCGCGCTCCGTCTTGACTTGTCGCACAGCTTCCACCTCGCCGGCCAAACCCGAGACGGTAAAGCCGTTGGACGCCAGCCCGCGCTGAATAAAGTCGCGCATCTCCTCGTCAACCATGATTTTGGGCGATAACTTCTCCCCCCAGATCTCAGAGAGGTAAAGCGTGGTGTAGTAATCCCAATGCTCTTGATACGTAATCGTATGGATATCATGTTCAAACGGCATACCGAGCAGCCTCGCACGCGTCTCTTCGAAGCTCGGCACCAGGAACGACGTGTTGGCCACAATGTTTCCGTCCTCCAGCGTCTGGGGTCGGATGACCATCAAGAAGGGGCGTTCTTCGGGCTCCCAGGGCTCCCAGTCTTGCTGTGTCACGTTTGCGTAGTAACTAAATGTGTACCCTGGTTCTACCACGAATGCATCCATGTTTTCGGCAACAAGTGCTTTGGCGAGGTTGTTGCGTCGAAGTACGTATTCTTCTAGTAGCGGTGGTTGTGCTGAGTCTAGGAAGTGCAAACCAGTGGATAGATAGGTATTGATTGAGCATATGTGGAAAGCTGCAAATTGAGAAGGGGGAAATATATGGCTATGGCCAAATGACGTGTAGAGATACTAGATGGGATATCTTGAGATGTTTGGTCTTCTAGGATGATGATGGGTTTGGAATTAAGAAACGTACTGTAATCGCGAAGAATACGATGCTCATCAAGATGTATGGACGCGAGGGACGGGTACTACGCCCGAGTGCTTTCCAACGAGTAAGCGGTATTCCACCATGGGGGACAAAGAGGTCCTTCGTTTCTACAACATTAATGTGCATGTTTGATAAAGCAGTTGATGCTTTAAAGGGTAGGATGAAGGATGTCAAGACTGAGATGCATGGATACACCAACCAAGAATAGCGCCAACACGCAGTCACGTGGAACACCATGCTCACCTTAGTATCGCGCTAGGTAGATCACACGGCAAAGAGGACGATTCAAAGTAGGAGGCTAGACCTCCAGATGAGATTTTAATTTGTGCCATGAAAGTTACTCTGTGTTCTTATCACCCCCGCTACACTAAGAGTAACTCCAGCTGTCCGACATGAATCCCGCGTCTTGGTGCGTTGGTTATCCGCACCACTCTTTATCTCTCCACCTCACAAGAGGAAAACATTTGAATGCCTCCGACTTCCTAGTACCTATACACACTCAGGATAATCTACAGAATCGATCATGGCATTGATGTTATCGCCAAGATCCTCCGTCTTGACGTTACCGCCTCCAACTAACTTGTTCTTGCTCACTCGACCGGCTTGGACCTTGTCAGCTACGCACTGGTTAGCAATGCAAATAACTCTCTGGATACATTACTCACCCTTCTTAGAAGGACTGCGACTGGTGTTCTTGGAAGGGCTGCTGCTATTCTTGGCACGTGGCTTCTTGGGAGTAGCGACAGTGTCGTTCACAGCTGCAGCCTTGAGATCTTTGGCTTGAGTCTTCCAGGGTCTAAAATGGTACTCGAGGGCGTCGTATGTCATGCCATTGCCGTAAAGTCGCGCGACTTCACGAAGGTCGATCTTTGGTCAATGGATTAGTAAAATGGCAACATGGAGTCAGCGGAGAAGAAGAAAAAAAGAAGACGTACCTTGTTGTTGTTGGAAGCAAGGTAGGCCACAAGGACACCTTCAATAACTTTGATGTCGTTCCAGTTGGTAGGCATGGCGGCGACGAAGACTGTGTGCTGTTAGTGAGAGTTGCAGATAAACTTGTGACAAGGTAGAGTGTGTGTGCATGTATAGAATGACCGTAAACGACCTAGGCAAGACAAATATGTGGTCACAATGGATATCTTGGGCTCTGTGTAGGATGACTGCTCCCGCGCAATAATTGCAACGTGCAAAGCTGATAGGCTTCGCTGGTGGGGACAACTTACTTCGGTAGAGATCAAAGGGCTCCTAAAGTGGATGTGCGCAAGATATTTCAAAACGCAGTAAGAGTTGAGTGTTGCGGTTGTGGTGTAGCTTGCTTAAAAGGAGGACGCGGAGGATATGCAGGCAGCAGATACCACGTGCAGGTAAGTGAAGGTGAATGGTAAAACATTAGTCTTGCCTTCTCACTTTCCTGCCTTCACGCCGCCAACACGTGGTAATAAAGGGATAACATAGCAGAGGAGAACTCACCACGTCTGCCTGTCTACGCCGCGGCGCGACATGTCTTAGTTAACGTATGATGGTTGGAAAGAAATGTTTTCACAAACGACCAAATATGTAGAAGAGCATAGAGAGCAAAACAGGCCTCTAGAAAACAGCTAAGACGCCGAACAATAGATATGAATTGGGTATAAATGCTTTTATAGTCAACGCCTAGCGGGACTTGAGAGAGCGCATAGGCCCTTGGTTAATTACAAACTCTTTGCTCAAAAATGCTTTGTTATGCAACATGCCTACTTCATCGCCTGGCCTTGTTGGCTTTGGAATCGTCCCATTCTCTCTTGCCCTTGCCTTGGGCTTTGAGTCTCTTTGCTTCCTCCCTTGGATCTATGACTAGCAGCTCTTCTTCGTTCTTCCGCTTCCATTCAAGGTCTTTGCCTAGTCTGTCTTTTGCGAAACTGAGCGAATGTGACATCCAGCCTGTATCATCGTCGGAACCCTCATCTTCTTGAGCGTCCCAGGCTTTGCATGACTGACAGCCTACTATGAAATGCAGGTCACATGCGGCCTCGTCGTCTTGATCACCACCATTGCCATGTCCTTCCCCATTTTCGTTTGGTGTATTTTCGGATAGTGTTGAAGCGGCTGGCTTGGATATTATGGCAGGCTCTGCAGCCTCGAGTTTGGATTTGAAGCGTGCCAAGATGTCTAACGAGGATTGCTCGTCTTTTGAGTTTCCACCAGCACCACGCTTGCGTCCGCGGGTGGTTGTTGAGGGTACCATGGCCTCGAGCAGAGACTTTTTCTTGACAGGCGCCGCATCCTGAGTTTGCGTGCTCCGCTTCATCGAGGCTTTGAGGTCGGCAATCTGCTGGTTCACACGGTCAAGCTTTGCTTGTCTCTCGGCCTCTGGTGACAATTCTCGTGGGGGCGAGCGGGGTTTAGGCGCAGGCGGTGACTTGGGGACTTGTTTCTGTGCAGGCTTGGGCGAGGGAAGTGGCGAGGGAGAGTTGCGAGGTGATTTACGAGGCGAGTTGCGAGACGAGTTGCGTATGGGCATGGCTTTTGCTGGCTCTGCTGGTTTGGAGGATGGTGCTTTCTCATCGGCTGCACTGACTAACTTGGTGTTGAACTTGGGCTTCTTCGCAACGGGCGCAGAGCCAGCAGCGTCCTCGTCGTCTCCAAAGCTGAGGACATTCTTGCCAGCTTTCCTCTTGGGCTTCTTAGGCTTCTTAGTCTCTACCTCTGTAGGCGCAGCAGCCTGCACCCGACGGACCATATCTTCGAAGGGGTTCACAATAATGTCTGCGCCCGTGACTTTTGTTGGGTACATGGGCTGGTCATCGCTTCCATCGCGGATCTCCGCCTCAGCCATCTTCATAAGATTGTAAATGGTGTCGCCAGCCACGCGGCCAAAGAGCGTGTTTTTGTCCTGCAACTCGGGTGTCGGAGCAAGGGTGAAGAAGAACTGGCTGCCGTTGTCGTCCTTGGTGCCTGTGTTGGCCATGCCCAGCAGCCCGCGGCGCGTGTACTTAAGGCGGCTGTGGAACTCGTCGGCAAAAGGCTCGCCATCGTAGCTGCTCTGGCCGCCCTGGCCGGTGCCCGTGGGGTCTCCGCCCTGAATGATGAAGCCCTTGACCAGGCGGTGGAAGACGGTGTTGTCGTAGTAGCCATCGAGACATAGCTGCAGGAAATTGCGCGACGTGACGGGCGTCTGTTTGGCGAACAGCTCCAGCTCCAGGTCGCCGGCGGTGGTGTGCAGCACCACCTTGGCCGTGGGGTTGGGCTCGAGGTTGTATGTCGAGCTCATGGCGACTGTCTACCTCGCAAAGCCCGTTGCTTGCTCGTCGATGGCGCAGTGTCGTGATGTGGTGATGTCGCATGGGCTATCCGCGCTGCAAACCCTCCAGCCACTCAGCGTCGAGCGCTTCCGCACGACCCACGGGCCCACGACCACTACGCCAACGTCATTCTGCGCATCCCTTGGCCATGTGCACATGTCGTACCTTGGTCGACTCCAACCCGTCCACTTGTCGTTACCACCATCCAGATGGCATCTTGTTCATGACACCACTCTTCTCGTCCGATAATCCATCCGTCTCTGCTCCGGATAGCACTTCTTCCTTTGCATCCTCCCACTCGGCACCATGTTGCCCTATATCAATGCTCGTACGTATTGGCGAGGCCCAAAAGCTGACACTTGCACTAACCAGCCATGAAGCATTCGAGTATGTTGCCAGCATACTTGGGAACTCGGCAGACGAGCGTGAGAGGCCTCAGCATCATATGTGTCTGGCCCACGGTTGACCTTGGCTAGTAAAACTCGTTTTTTCTTTCTACCTGTCATATCCACTTGCGGCTGTGCTCAAGAGAATACCCGACAAGGACCCATGGAAGAAGAACCTGTTCGTCATCAGGTACGTATGACATGTCCATGTACGCTATAGTACCTTGTTCATAGATGTAGTGTGTCTATGTTCTACCTAGTTGGTCTTTTTGACCTATGGGCTGGCTTGCGAACAATCTTCATCAGTGCGGGCGGCGCCTACCTAATCGCGTCCAAGATCCATTCCCCCTACATGCCCTGGATTGGCTTCGTCTTCCTCATGGGCCACATGTCTGTCAACCACATCTACCGCCAGGCCGTCAATGATGCCTCCGTCTTTGACATAACTGGCGCCCAGATGGTCATGGTGATGAAGCTTACCGCCTTTTGCTGGAACGTGCAAGACGGCCGTCTTGCCGACTCTGATCTCACCGACTTCCAACGCGAACACGCCATCCGCACCATGCCCAGTCTCCTCGACTACACGGGCTACGTCTTCTTCTTCCCAGGTCTCATGGCTGGTCCTGCATTCGATTATGCCGACTACAGCCAGTACATCACTACCACCATGTTCACCCTCCCACCAGGCACAGATCCCTCGCGGGCCCCGCCAACGCGAAAGAAGCGCAAGATTCCTCGGAGCGGAGTGCCGGCTGCCATCAAAGCTGCGTACGGCACGCTCTGGCTAGTTGCCTTCATCAAGTTCTCCAGCTGGTACTACCCCGCCTTCTACCTCGGTGGCGAGTGGATGCACTACACCTTCTTGCGCAGGGTGTGGCAGTTGTACATGCTCGGACTTACTACCCGCATGAAGTACTATGCCGTGTGGAGCTTATCGGAAGGAGCATGCATCCTGTCTGGCATCGGTTACAATGGTCTCGACCCCAAGACACAGCGACCAAAATGGGACCGCCTCACCAACATTATGCCGCTGGAGATTGAGAGTGCTCAAAATGCACGAGCTTACCTTGGTTACTGGAACATTAACACGAACTCGTGGCTGAAGAATTACATGTACTTGCGGGTAACTCCGAAGGGCCAGAAGCCCGGCTTTCGGGCTACATTGGCGACCTTTGTTACGAGCGCCTTCTGGCATGGTTTTTACCCTGGCTACTACCTGGCCTTTGTGCTAGCTGCATTTGTTCAGACTGCTGCAAAAAGTCAGTCTCTCCACAAAACTTTAAAGTCTCTCCACACTAACCATGTGTAGACGGCCGCCGCTTGGTTCGCCCACTTTTCCTGACTCCTGATGGCAAATCGCCCTTGCCTTCGAAGCGATATTATGATGTCTTTACGATGGTGTTGACACAAACCGTCTTTGCTTTTGTCGTCGCCCCCTTCATCTTGCTGGGCTTCACGGACACGATCACAGTTTGGGCACGCGTCTACTTTTACGCACTCATCGGCGTCGCCGCGTCCTATGCCCTGTTCTCCCGTTCTTTTCCATTTCGAAAGATGCTGGTGCAACGTCAAGCTGCCCGTGTACCACCAGCACAGCCAACCAGCCAAATTGATGAGCCTACAATTGAGAAGGCTGCACGAGAAGAAATACGGAGAGAAAGGATGGCCAGGACTACGTCAGCAGACAGTGTATCCGGCGTTGGCAGTCAACACCAGATGCCACTTTTGGGTATTGCCGATGACCCAGAAAAAATGGTTGATGAGATTGTGGCCGAGGTGAAAGCAGAGTTAGAAGCGAGAAGACGGAGGGGCAGCATAACACAGGGGTTTGATGTTAAAAAAGCAGTTCAGGAAAAGCTCAACCAGTTCACGAAGAAGTCGTAGGGCTGGGTGCTGCTGGGGATGCCCTGGGAGGCCGCGCATGTTTTTTATTGAGGAGAAGAGGGACCGTCGCTGAGGGGCCGACCAAGGGTCCGCTAGTTGTCGTTTGAATGCATTTGTTATGTGTCTGTGTGTGGTATACGTGTGTATGCGTGGTGTGTGTGTGTGTGCAAGCGGCTGGCCTGGCGTCCGAGCGTGGTCGGCGGTTGGGGTCGGGATACCAAGCTTTCCGGGATCAGCACAGACCCTGGTCAGATCGCTGCGCACCCACAAGGTTGATACATGACACGCTTCCAACGTTCTCGTCTGAGGCATCCGCCATCAGCCATCCCGACCACACACCGCTCCCGCCGCCACTATCTAGGTAGTCTGTCGCGTTGCGAGCGTGAGGGCGACGCCATGGCTTGTCTTGAGCTAGCCGCCGCCTTATGCAAGCCCAAGTTTCGTACACGCTAAGAAACGACGCGTCGGTTGGTATCAGCTGAAAAGGTTGATGCAGCCCAGCAGCAAGATTTATGATACAAGCAGAGCCCAGTCGATCCACATACTTGCCGCAATACGGGTGCACAGGCGTGTTTTCATGTAACAAAAATTTATCCGGCTGCTGTTAGTGGCCTGGCAGGTCTAGGCCAACCGATCAGGTTGATGGAACGGACCTGCATCGCGTAAATGCTCGAATCTGGGGTCTCGCAGTCCTTGGTGACTTACGTAGGCGGCCCGCAATAAGCAATCTACTAAGTAGTACGCTTGTCATCTCCGGCCGCCCAATGCTTAGAAAGCGCCTTTTTGCTCCACCATGCTGCATGCTGGGCCCCAAGACTCTTGGTTTCTGGTGCTCATATACATGGCCCAACACTAAATATGCTTCTATGTATACAGAAGGCTCTCGTTACAGACGCTGTGTTTCTCGTACTCTGCCGCTCGCAACGTTGCCGAGGGCACATAGCTCGACGAGAATTCTCCTACTAGTGCACCAATGCTAAACACGCCGCGCCGTATTCAAGACGCCTCACCAAGGATCCCATCGCTTCCATAATCTCCTTTCTGTTCCGTGCCTCGGGCAAAATTAAAATGATTTGCCTTCCCCATACCATTATCAAGAAGAGCCGTCAGCGCAATCTTCCGGAAGATCATGCTTGCACAGTTCCTATCTCCTTTTCTTGTTTTTTTTTCTCTCCAAGCTTCTGCTTACGCCCAGCCCATAATCCATGCCCTCGATCTTTTTGCGGATTAATGTATACTCGTTCCAGTTAATCGTCGTTGCTAGCTTTCCGGCGTAACCTAGCCTCCAATGGCGATCCCAAGTCATGGCCCTCTGATCCTGGGAATAACATGGGCATTCACCATATTCAGTGGAATTTTCCTCGGCTTCAGATTCTACGCCAAGGTGACTCGTAGACAAGGGCTGTGGTGGGATGACCGTGTTCTTCTCGCCTCGTGGGTACGTCGAATTTGTACTGTTGAATTCTGCTATAGTACTTTGCTGATCCAGATGAGTAGATTTTGCTTCTTTCACAGGCAGCTGTCACCCAATATGGCGTCGAGTTAGGGTATGGAAAGCCACTCAATGATATTCCAACCAAAAACTGGTCAATCATTGCCCTGGGGTCTACCGTTATATCTATGGTATCGAGCATTGCCGCAGCACTTTCCAAAATGTCATTTGGCATCACTTTGTTACGCCTAACGTCAGGACACCTGCGCTCCATCGCATGGTTCTGCGTCGTTACCCTTTTTCTCACCCTGATCCCCAGTGTTGTGGGCCCCTGGATACAGTGTCCGAATATAGAGACAACATGGAACACGTCCAGTGCCGTTTGTTGGACTGCAGAGTCGCAAATCGAATACGGCATCTTCAATTCTGCCTGGTCAGCTTTGATGGATTTTGTTCTTGCGTCATTGCCATGGTTTCTCATATGGAACCTGCAGCTCAAGTCTCGCGAGAAAATTGGAGTCGGTATTGCGATGAGCTTGGGAGTGCTGTAAGTACTTGTCCGGCTTTGTAGTCATGGTCAGACTATTAGCAATTGTCATACTAACACAGCCGTCAGTGCAGGTATCTGCGCCGTTATAAAAGGTGTATATGTAGTACAGCTTCGAGAATGGGATTTTTCTTACTATGGCAAAGATCTTGTGATCTGGACTGTGGTGGAGATTGCCACTGCTATTGTCGGGGGATCAATTCCTGTCCTTCGTGTGTTCTTGAAGGAGACAATGTGTCCGTACGCGCGATCGGGCGCGAGGAACAATTCCACTGTGCCACTCTCACAATTGCGCAGATACCAGCATTCAACCGTCACCACAACTGTACGAAGTGTGAAAAGGGGTAAAGAGGGGAGCTGGACTGCGATAGACGAGGAAGAACAAAACGATGGCTCGAGTCAAAGGGGCATTCTGGTTGATGAAGAAATGGGTGGAGCTAGTAGTAGTAAAGCAGCGTATGCGGGCGACCACATCGTGCAAACGAGCAGAGTCACTGTTAGAGTTGAGAGGGATGTTAGCCCGTCACCTAGAAGCAGGTCTTTGCTGAACACTGATTAGCTTTGTCCCCTGTTCAGTACCAAGAGGCCCATGTCCTCTCCGCGTCGGCACCTTCCAGCATGTATGGGCTATGAGTAAAAGAAACCTCCCCACGCTAGTTGTTTTCCTGAATTAGAGGCCTATTGCTCTGTTTATTATACCCTTCCCACCGGAGATATGGAATCCATTACATGTTGTTTGATATTAGACGCAACACGTGTCAGGGCCGATTGCGGCCTATATCATCTATTCAGCGCCGACGCAGGTCCGAGTACTGTCCCTCGCCTTGGACGTGGTCAGGAAAATGCATACTTGCTTCGGATTGGATCGCCCGTATAGCGAAGATAAGACTGAACGTATGGACGAAATCGTACAAAAGCATCGAGGGCCGACAGCCTTTACTCGTGACCAAATATGACAAAGCCGCATAGCTAGAATGGGAAGCGTGTGTGTGCCGTGAGATTTGCCGCACGGATCGGTTGCAAGCGCAAGCGATGCTTTGGACAGCTGCAAGGACTAGCAGCGAGCATTAGAGCGACAATAGTGACGTTTCGGTGCTGTGCCTCCTCTTGGAAGAGCCGAAAGTAATTGCCATGGTTGCCGCATGATCGGCACATGCGCCACGCTTGTACTACTATGGTAACAGTTGCACCCTTGGACGGGTCGGCAAGTCAAGCGGTGACAGCCTTTTTCAAGTGCCGGCTCACCTCAACCCCACAAACTTCCCCATACTCTTGTGAATCTTGTCATTGCCGTCATGACGGGCCACCCTGTGCTGCCCTACGACCAGGTTTCTCCGCAGATTATTGCGTATGCTGTCGTCCTTCCCCTTGGCCACGCTGGCCACCGGGCTTCTAAGCGCAAGATGATTCTGGCAGCGTTGCTACTAGCGAAATACCACTAAGCCTCTCCGACGCTTATCTCCTTGGCCCTGTCCCTGTAAGTATGCAGCACAGCAGGGATTGCCCAACCGATTCCCCGACTCCTGATGCGGCTCTGCTGTACAGCCCACCACTCATCGTTGCCCGGCTCAGGGCTCGCTTCCATTTGGAAGGGAAAAGAAATGATACACGTGACTTTGCGGCGTTAATCCCTCACATCGGGGACTATGGACTGCCGATTGGCGGCCTTCAGCCACAATCCTCCCGTGCTTATCACTGCGTTTTGGGATGCATGACCAACCAGCGTAGTCCTGGTAATGGACTAGTTTCGCTCTAAGCAAGTACACCTGCACGCTCAAACAGAACGCAAATCCTCTCACATGCGCATTGAGGCTGAACCAGACCCCCACGAGACGCACGGACCAACAGCCGGTGTCAGCAAATCTTGCCGTGCACTGTACATCACTAGGAACCAAGCTATCTGAGTCAGGACTTTATGAACTAATAGCACTGATTCTACATGCAGCTTAAACATTGCTTGAACATCTCAAACTACTTGGCTCGTCTCGTTTGAACCATGAAACAGTGACGCCGAGGGCATTCCTCCAACACTTGCCATTGGTCAGACTCATTGCGGGTTCAAGATTCCATCGATGATTGCTGCATATTTAAGACATTCCTCATCACGCATCCTGTTAGTAAAGACTTGGACCGATGTTGGTAGGTTGTCCATGCGTTCGGGCTCGTCTGTAATTGGCACATGTTAGCTTGTATTGCACACGACAAACATATCATGTTACCAAAAAAAAGGATAGACGTACAATTCGGACCGCACTGACCAGGGCCCATGACAAGAGGCTCAGGATCAAGTTTACTAGATGACTTGCCGAACGGTATGACGCATGCGGGGTACTATCTCGATTGTTAGCAAATGTTTTCTTCTTCTTCTTCGCCAAACAGGACAGCACGTCCTCTCGAGCACTTACGTCAAGCACGTTCAAAAACAACGTGTAAGGTGGCAAGCCATACGTGTCATGTGGAACTGCAGTATGTTGCGCCGACGGGCCGATGACAACATCTAGCTTTTGCTCCTTCCACAGGGACCTCCACTCATCCATTATGATGTTCCTCTTTACATTGAGTGCAGCCACTCTCTTGACACCTTCAAGGTGGGCCATGTCATCAAGAAAGCTGTTTTTGAAAGCGTGGAACGCTCCCATGCTTTGCTTCACGGATGGCACCAGGGGTTCGCCACTTGCCTCAATATGTTGTGGGGCTGTATCGTCAAGGAAGAAGTAAGCAAAGGCGATGGCCAATGCGTCGGCTACATGGGCGGTAGGTGCACTAATCTTGTGGATATAGTGGCCTTGTGCCTCCAATAGCCTCACAGCTTCCGCCAAAGCTCTCTTGACTGGTGGGTGCAACGGGAAGGATGGGTCTTCGGAGACAACACCGATGCGTAGCTTCTCTGGGCCTGGAGATGCAGAGAGATCCAACCAAGGCACATCGAGAGCAGTCGAGTCATACAACGCTGGTCGAACTGACATGACTGAGCTGCACAGGGTATTTAGTGCGTGGACATCGTTGGCTAGAGGTCCCGCAGAAGGCTTGAAGAAATCCATGCCACTAAGGGATGGGGAAGACTGGCCGCCATCAGGGACGCGGCAAGTCGATGGCTTGAAACCATACGTTCCGCAGCATAGAGACGGGATGCGAATCGAGCCTAGATGACATGGTAAATGTGGGAACTAGGTGCCAGAACGTTCTAGTTACGAACCTGCAATGTCTGTACCAATGCCCAAAGGAGACCCCCGAAAGCCCATTAGCGCACCTTCGCCGCCACTGGACCCGCCAGCAGTAACATTGGTGTTTACTGGATTTAGTGTACGACCAAAGATGTTGTTGTGAGAGTCTGCAGTCTACTCAATGTTAGCATCCAAGTTTCCACAAGTCTACTGATGAAATCAATCTTACCATGAGGGTCTGTGGGAGGTTCGTTTTTACGTAAATGACCGCTCCAAGTTCAAGCAGAATGTCGACAAGGGGCGAGTTCTTCTCAGACAGGGGACGACTCAGGAAAGACACAAAGCCAATACTGGCATCTGAGCCAGCAACATGGAACCCGTCTTTGACGCTAATTGGCAAGCCGTGGAGCGGCCCTACTATCCGTCCTTGTGCTCTTTCGTTATCGAGAAACTTGGCACGATCTTGTGCCTCAGGGAAATAGGTTTCAGTAAGGCATGACAACTAGAAAGAAAGAAAAAATGTCTATCAGATGTTATGGCTTCAGCTTTTAGGAGCAGTAACAGCTTACAAGTTGCTGTGCAATGGCTGCTCTCTTGGAAAAGGCAAGTGTTACGTCCAGCGCAGAAAATTCACCGCTCTTCAATTTGGATAGCAGCTGTGCTACGTTATACTTCTCGGTAATATCCAATTCCTTCTCGGTCAATATGCCCGACTTGCGTGGAATGTCCATGTCATTTACACGGTTCGGATGATCTTCAAGCGGCGTCTGAAGCGTCTGCAAGATAGACGAGGGGAGCAGCCACTCCTTTGGCAGTTTGTCACGGCATGACTGCTGCTTCGCGGCGACTGCCGACTCCCAAGATGAGGTAGCAGTAGCAGTAGTAGTGGAGGTGGCCATGTTTTGGAATCAAATAGGAAACATGTACGGATATCAGAAGACGGCAGGGGACTGTACCCAGTATATATACTAGGTGGCAGAGACCATCCCAAATGCCGCACAAGGCATCCGAAGCTAACACGATGCAAGGATCCCCTCATCAAGACAAGACACATTTGACGTGCAGAGACTGAAGCGGTCGCAAGCTGTATCCTTGGTTGGTGTCCCGCCGGCGTATAGCTAGCTGCTGGCCTGTTGCTGCATAGTACCCCATGGGCGTCGAGGCCAAGCCGGCATAATCCACACAACATACTAATTGGGCCGACGAAGGTCCGAGCGCATCCACCATGCAGAATCCGGGGAAGGGCAGATAGCAGACCCAGACCCCCTTGACATCGGCGGCTCTTGAGAAGGGCCGTAGGTTCATACATATATAGCTCCAGATGAGCCAACACTGTGGGGAAAACATCGCACCCACCAGACCCGCCGTTTGCGTGGAACACGGTCTCGTTGTTGTCTTAGTCCCTTTCTCTTCATTGTATTCCTTTCACCACCATGAATGAATCAACCGTCCACGGCGAGGGCGATGAGTCCTTCTGGGCGCCCGGTACCTTGCGACTGGAGGATTGTATGACTTCCCAAGTCCTTGCCCATAAGACGACACATACGCAGTGCTGACAACTCGTCTACAGTGACGCGCTCCAGGACTGAGGTTATCCTGCATCCCATACCGACCTCTGATCCCGATGATCCCCTTAACTGGAGCCAGACGAGGAAGTGGATCAATTTTGGACTCGTCGGATTTTTCGTACTATGGACCTTCGCACAGCTTCAGATTGGTGCTACCTCCTGGAGTCAGCTCATCCCGCAGCTACATTTCACCGTCGACCAACTCAACAATGGTGTTGCTGTGAACTCGGCCGGCTTGGGCATTGGTTGTATCCTATTTATGCCGTTTGTGCACAAGTATGGACGACGCCCTCTATATCTGTTGAGTTCCGCACTTCAGCTGGCCGGTGTCGTTTGGCAAGCCAAGATGCAAAACTATGGCGATTGGCTGGGATGTAACTTTCTCACAGGCTTGGGCGGCGCCATCAGCGAGGCCGTTGTTCAAGTCACCATCGCCGATCTCTTCTTTGTCCACCAACACGGAACCATGAATGCCTGGTACCTGATCTTCACCTCCATCGGTGCCACGCTTGGTCCCGTAGCCTCTGGCTTTGTGGTTCAATCGCAGGGATGGCGATGGATCTGGTGGTGGTGCACCATTTTCCTTTCTGTCAATTTCCTTCTCATCGCCTTCATGTTTGAAGAGTCAAAATACGTTCCCGTTCTCTCTGGCCAGAGCGTTCCCCTCAACCGCGACGTCCCTAGCACAGATGACGTTAAAACCGCGGATGCCGACTTGGAGCCAGCCAAGGTTGACATCAAGCACACCACCATGGAAAGGATACAATCTAGGATCGACCCAACTCTGCCACGCAAGACCTACCTCCAGCGTATGACGCTGTTGACCACCTCGGACTATTCTGTTCGCCACCACTTTTACCAACCTGTCGTCATACTATTCATGTTTCCTGCCGTCGCCTATGCAGCCCTCACTTATGGCACCATCTTGGGGTCTTTGGCGCTCATGGCTTCTACCCAGGCGACGTATCTCCCCCGACCACCTTACAACTTTGGGCCTTCTGGTGTCGGTCTCATGAGTTTGGCTCCATTCACCGGCTCTTTTTTCGGCTTCTTCGCCGCTGGTTGGCTCAATGATAAGTCCATTATGTGGTTTGCACGACGAAACGGGGGTATCTATGAGCCTGAGATGCGTCTCTGGCTTAGCCTTGTATCCGCATTGGTCCTTCCTGCCGGCGTTCTGTTGTTTGGCATCTCCTTGGCTCATGTAAGTTGATCGTTTTTTATGCTGACGAGAAGACACTGACATTCTCTGCAGGGCGTGCATTGGATAGCCATGGCTGTGGGCTTTGGCATGTTTGGTTTCACATTTGTGCTTGCTAGTGGTGTCGCGCTTGCGTATGTGACGGACTGCTATCAAGAGGTAAGGAGACGCCTAAAACTTCTTGATTGCATTACAGATACTAACTTGACATGTTCAAGATTCTCGGAGACGCTATGATTGGTATCACCTTCGTCAGGAATGTCTTCTCCGTCATTATTCTTTTCACACTCACTCCATGGAATAAGGCTATGGGCATCCAGAATGTCGCAATCATCACAGCCGCCTTCAATCTAGCCGTCCTTTTACTCCCCGTTCCCCTGATCATATGGGGAAAGAAGATTAGGATCTCAACTTCCAAGCGATACGAACAAATGGCCCGTCGACAACCCGCGTTCCGAACACTGGGAGAGCACTGTCAAATGTAAAAGCCTTTTGCTTTGTACGCCGTCAACCAAAGCTGTCGAATTATCATATAATGTTGCAGACTTGCCTTTCACAGTTTGGCTCAGTGTGGTAGCCAGGAGACGGCGTCGCACCAGTGTACTTGTCCTCGAATGTCTTTGATTGCCCAAAATGCAGTCAATTGATTTTTTAGCCTGATTCTTGATCTTCTCGAAAATTCAATAAAAATATCAATCTGCTCAAGTGCCAATTGACGTTCCTCAAGATCTGTGAGTTCGAAACAAGCGACCATGTACGGAATCTCCATGTGCGGAATGGATCGTTTGGTATGCCGAACCGCTGAACGCAATTCTTCAAGGATTGCTTCTGACAGAGCTTTGCCTCCTGCTAACTCTGTACCGAAAGGATAGCGCAGCCGGTGAATCATGAGGAGCACAGACCAGCGGAGGATGTTAGCTTGAGCCAAGATGCTCACCATTTCTTGTTGCAAGAAACGACTGGCGCATCCCTCGGGCAGTGTAGGCGTCCATTTGTGGACAACCAACTCGATTGAATCAATGATTTCCATGATTTCGGAATCGCTAGGTCGCTCGTCCTGGCGCAATAGATAGCTGACTTCGCAAATATCGTACATGCAGGGTATCATTGGCGCAGCAATTCCCACATAGCGATCTACAGAGCCGTCCGTAATTTCCAGTTTAAACCGGAGTGTGGGCAACTCGCCCATCAGATAGCATTCCTCCGTCTCTGACATGACCAGGCAGACGAAAAATGCCGAGCATTCAGAATCAAGCACTGGAGTCGAGTCGTACATGGGCTTGATGGTGAGGAGAGCATGCCTACATATCGCCAAACCGCTTCCGGAGATATGGAATGCGAAGGTGAGTGCGCTCACTGCTAGCAGTAGAATGACGGGTATGTCGCCAGGATCGAGAGGTTTGACCGAGCGCAAAGTGGAAACCGCAGAAGCCGCTCGTCTGTAGCCGATAGCCCTGTCTTCGGGGAAGGGATCAGGATCATACTCGCAAGCTAAGAGAGCCGCAGTTGCTATCAAAGCGTCGTGGATCCATGGCGGTGCGTTATGAAGGTGCCGCGCAAAAGTCTTGTGATGGTTTACCTGGAAGCTTGGTGCTACCAAGAATTGCTCAATCTGCGGTCGTCCTTGTGATATGCACTTGATAATGAATAACTCTCTTTCGTTCATGTCGGCAAACATGGAAAGAGTCCTGGATCTGAACACTACATCCGATCTAGCTGGAGATGCTGGTAGAGAGACTATGTCCGATGCAGGGCTCGCTGGAGTAGTGCCTTGTTGGACTGATGACGCTGCTGCCGAGACCGTAGAAGAGCTCCCGCTACGGGCGCGACGTACTTGGATTGTTGTCGTACTCCCCTCATGGCGGTGGTGACGAGGCTTGCGGCCAGCGGTTCCCACGGGCCTTAGGCTCTGGCAGGTGTTCTGCAGTCGGTGGCAACGTTCGCAGGCACTCTGGCCGGGGATACGTCTACATTTTTCCTTGACGGCATGGCACCTGTCGCACGCCCGTGTTGCTGGTGGTCTGCCCATTGAAGGCGCTCAAAGGTGCGTCGTCCCGGGTCATGGTAGGGTGTGAGAGTGGATGCGACAGGGAGCCTGATGCTATGTAGCAAGCTCGGGTGAAACACCGGCCAGATGACTAATCGTCCCCCAGTGCCCGAGCTTCTCAGCCCTGGGATCCGGGGAAAATAGCGCTACACATTTGGAACAAGCCGCGTTGTAAGATGTGCGCCACAATCAAGGCCTATAATGGTCACTTCTTCCCTCGGTCTTCCTTACGGTTCACAGGGTATGTTCGCACAACCCTTTGCGCGATCAATTTGTAGACTCACTTTGCATTCTGATGGCTATACCAACACCCTGACCGAAGTCACACCGCACCTGATTCGTCTTGTTCGGCCCTAGTCATTTGCTCTGGCCATCTCCCTTCATCTCGGCTATCCGATTCGGAACTCTAATCAAGCCGTAAACCTCCAGCCACCTTACCCGGCTTGATGCGTTCAGATAAAAGAGAAATCAGGGCCTCTATTTGCTCGGTACAGTCCAGACGACTCTGGCGCAAAAAATGTATCAGATTGAGCATTTGCAGAAATGTGGCAGATCAATTTGCTGGCTGTGTGGACCTAGGCGAAACTGCCAAACCATCCGTCGCCATGAATCGTTCAATGTGACCTTTCTTCTTCGTGTGGAGTTTCCCATGCTCCATGTTCCCGTCAATTGATAACGTCACAGCTGATGGTATGTGAGGTGCCTGGTGGACACGCAGTAAGGAGAGCCATGCGTGAATGCACTCCCCGAATGCAATGATCCTGACATCCAAATGGTGATGCACCCATTCGAGTATTTAGCTATATCAAGGACGTCTTGATGAAAAAAAGTAAAACTCTTCGGTGTAGTGGTATACGCAAACCCTGTAGCCCAAAGCATGGGTGCAGTCAAAGCACGCAGAGCACTGTCACCCTTATGAAACTGATAGTTTCAATCCAATTTCTTGCTGGAAGGGGAATACAAGTGCGATGTGACCTATAAAATGTTGAGTGTAGGTTGTGATTTATCAGAGGCTTGATGGCATGTCGAAAAGTCAGACGTAGAATTGGTCGTGAGGTAGGAGCTATGGGGTTTCAAAAGGGTTACGAAAGTAGCTGGAGCCCCAGAGGTTTTACTTTGAGAAACGAGAGGACTGGGGAAGACATGGAGAGAGGACTAGGTTTGCTCCCTTGAGTGGCTCTGAGCATATTTGCGATTAATCCCTGGACCTGTTTCCATAGTATCCTGGCTTTCAACAGTGCTTTGTAAGACTGGGACTAGCAGTGGGCTTGTGGATGTAATTGCTAGGTTGGGCAGAACGGTATCACATCTACGAAAGCAGACGCATGCTGGATGACCTTGGAACCTTTCCCTTGCGACATTTTACTGGAAGAGACTGGTGTCACAAAGTCAAAGACGACGCGCAAACAGCAAATTCCGTGTAGAGAGATCTTTGGAGAACGACTGGTGAATATGCACAGGGTCCATACAAGGCGGAAATGGCCAGAAGATATCCTAGGTAGTTCAACCCATAATCGTGCGCCAGGCTCCAAGTGGAAATGCCCATATCCTAAATGGGAATCAGTGGACCAATGCTGCCTCTACTGGATCGTTTTCGCCATGTGCATCCATATCTATATCTGGTTGATGCTCCTCTTGGGCTGGGTCTTCGGCGGGAGTAGGGCGTCCTTCGATCATGCGAATCCACCATACAGGAGGATCGAGGGGGCTGTGATTGTTGTGTAAAGGCGGGTAGATATCGTTGAAATAATACCATACTGTTGAAACTTAGCTCCACAACGAATAAATCGGGGCAAAAACACGGAGACACATACTGTGACCTACGACAATGCCGCACATCTCGTCTTTGGGCACGGTTCCATGCATGATCAATGAAAATGCTAACAACACCCAGGGAAGATAAGGCGCCTTGAACACCAGCAGTCCCAAGAAGCTTAGCATGGTATCCGGGTTCTTCCTGCTCCAAATATAAATGAGGGTGCTGGACAAAGCAGAGCCAAGGAAGGCCATGGAGAACATGGGCGCAATGCAGAGGAGGAGCGTGGATGCGAAAGTGAGGAGCCAGGCGAAGTGTGCTGTGGACCGTCCAGAAGATTCCTCCAAAAGTCGCGCATAGCGTTGAAGAAAGAAAATATGGTAGAGCAGATCGAGACTGAGCGGACCAAAGTAGAAGAAGGTGGTGAGAAGCCTCCAATACTGCCAGATATCAGTACGCAATGGCTAGCTTTAGGTCCGAAGCTAAACGCACCTGGCTCTTGAAGAATACAGTACGGACGCTATAGAACAGCTGGAAGGGTGAGATGATGTGGCATTGCACAAGCACGCTCGCGCTTAGCGCTGCAGTCATCCACCAGCGAGTGCAAACAGGCATCTCGTAGAACCACTGCTCGAGCGGAAATCCTCCAACTCCGCCCATCATACCATCTCCGCCTTGCAGCACGTTGGCCATTTCGTCTATGCCTGGCCGGGGCAAGCAGATTGCACTTTCTCTGGAGTTGGAGACACTGGCGATGCAAAGCTAGAGGGGATAAAGGGAAGAGCTCCAGCATATAGAAGCTGTGTAAGAAGCGAAAGGACAGGTGTCGGAGAACAACCGCTGCGCTCTCGTGTCCGAGTCTGAAGGACAAGTACGTACATATGTGGCTACGTAACGTGAATCATGGCTGACAAAAGCGCTAGCTTGATCTAATCTAATCTGCTCAGATTAGATAAGATCCACTTGAGGGCCGCGCACCAGCCACACGTGCCCGCCCCTCGGCTCGGCCCAGTGCTGCGACGCGACCAAGCAACGCGAGAACGGCTGGCAATGCAAACAAGCCCATCCGATACGGCAACCCTTTTTCATTGTCCTAGATCACCGTATTCCTGAGACCCACATTGATCTCTTGCCATCTTGCACATCTGAACCGCAGTGCGCCAGTTCAATCAAAGCCAAAGTTTGGCTACTTCGCGTCGCGTCCGGTATACGCGGTAACCTCGAATCCCATCCAAACGCATACATTTCTCGCCACCGCGTCGTCGCTCATTTCGCTTTCAGCAGTTGGCGCAACATCTCTACAACGGAAACTCGATATGGCACCGAAATCTCCTGCTAGGCGCAACAAAGCGCGACCCTCACGAGGCGGGAGAGCTAGTATTGGTGATAGAAGGGAGTCTGGCAAGCGACGTACGTCAAAGCCACGCGACCAAGGGGCGCACCCACAGTGACTGACATGGCACAGTTGGAGCGCCAGGACCTGCGCCTGATCGCGCAAAAAAGCGGTATAAGCCTGGTACCGTGGCTCTCCGTGAGATCAAGCGTTACCAAAAGTCAACTGACCTGCTTTTGCTGAAGCTCCCTTTCCAGCGTCTTGTAAGCGCGCAACCGTGACAAGTCATTTACCTCGTTGCTAACGTGTCCAGGTCCGTGAAATCGCCCAAACAGTCACAAGCGAAGAAGGACCCAACAGATGGCAGAGTCAAGCCATCATGGCCCTACAGGAAGCTACTGAAGCCTTCCTGGTCAACCTATTCCATGATGCCAATCTATGCGCCATTCATGCAAGGCGCGTCACCATTCAGCAAAAGGACATACAGCTCGCACGTCGCCTGCGCGCAGCCTGGGGTGCTCCGGTCTAGTTTGGAGCGGAGAGTCGTATGCAGATACCCAATTTTATTTTTCATAGATATTGTTTTCGAATTTGCAAGTAGGGGCTATAGCATGAAGTGCTGTATAGGAGTTGGCTTTTGCGTGTCTGGATAAGTACCTATTTATCAGCCAAGTTACGTACACGACGGCGTTACTTTACTTTTGCAGTACTTGAAAGCTTTCACAGCGCACTACACGCACAGGAGGTCAGTAGCCTATGCTTACCCTCGATCCTGATATCATGTCCAAAACTGTGCAGAGTCGGCTACAGTAACCAGCTCTAATGTAACTAGTAACACCTGTTCAGCGTATCACGACTTGAACCTTCTTTACCTGCCTGAACTGTGACGTCAATCTCTTAATCCTTCTTGGCGTAGAGCGTATGAGATTATTTTTTCTGCGTACAGAATGACAGGCCACATCCGAACCTGCCGGATGCGGATGTCAGGAAAGTTTTGCGTAACGCATTCGGCAGCACATACCTATTCAGTCATGGCTTAGCAACACTGCGCCTTCCCGCATAAGACAGGACACACGGGGTCCCTGTCCACTTACCACATGCTAAGTAGATTAATCGTTTTTCTGTACTCCTGTTGTCTGTTCACCAAAACATTTTTCAATGATAAATCGGAAGCTTTTCTACAGCGAATTATCTACTAGTTTTGGACATGTTCTGCCAGGGAGCACCGTGCGCTTGAACATCTTTATCCACAATTACCTAGAGAGATCGATCGAACCTGGGAAAGCATATTTAAAACGCAATAACAAGAGACAAAATAGGAGAAGCTATTCTCTATTTGCGAGCAAAACGCTAGCAGATTTAGACTGGTATATCCCAAACCACTCCCTGATGACCTTACGAAGCCCCTGTATGTTTTTACTTAGGCGAGAATGCGCAGTACGCCATGTATCCTTTTACAAATAAAAGCTCAAGACAAGCCACTTGGCAATCAGGGACCGGTCCTTGGGATTAATTTGAATTTTGTACTTTCACAGAAGCTCGGCGTTCTTGGAAAGTAGGCCACGTCCTGCACTTCCGGTCCTTCTGATCTTCGACCAATCTGTTTTTATCAAATTTGGGGTGTGTATGTTAGAAACACTATGCACCGATATACGAGTGTCTATACGCATTAATTACTAATGGTACTGGAATTTACTAGCTCGATGCAGCATGTTTTTCCGCTATACGCTGTATAGGTATACGCTCACCATAGAGGAAAGTAAGGGTACAGCCACTTGAGCATCCGGTCTTCCCTTGAGGTGCACGTGGGTCCAGACCGCCTCTTAGAACTTTCTTTTTGTGGTAACAATCATTTGCTAAGCGTCTTGGAGAGTTACTAGAGCCTCCTGCGCACAGTCACTAAAATAATTCATTATCGGACGAATGACAACTGAGATGTATATAAAGAGCACAACCTAACAGCCTTTGAAAGACACCACACCAGCTCAGCCAGCCATCTTCTGTCAATTTCTCATACCACTCGGTAACTGAACTGCTTCGGAATATCAACACAACACTCGCTTTTTTCCTTCATTCTTCAATCATGAGAATCTCTACTCTGTCCCTTTTCGGTCTCCAGGCCGCTCTGGGCCATGCTCAGGAATCTTGCAATGCCGCCTGTCAAGCAGCCTTTCGACCAGCTGTCGCGGCCGAGATTGGCTCTATGGTCTCAAAGAACGTATCCTCCGAACCATTCTACAGCACTCCTGCCAATGTCACTGGTGCCAAACCTGGTGATGTGTTGCGATGAGAGGACTTCCCTCAGTCCATAGTAAACACCAACAACTTTACTATACCTTCTGGAATGTCTCTTTCCCGTTTCCTCTACATGACCGAGGATATCGACCGAAAGCCTATTCCCGCCAGTGGATTTGTGCTTCTGCCCTACAGCAGGCCCGATCCAAGCAAGCCGTTGAACACCATCGTGTGGGCACATGGTACAGCAGGATTCACGAGAAACTGTGCGCCTTCCAATCATAAAGACCTGTACTACGAATGGCAGGGACCCTACTACCTCGCACAGGCTGGATATGCTGTTATCGCTCCAGACTACGCTGGCCAGGGATCAGATATCCCTCAGGGCTTTATGTACGAGGCTGGCTTTCTGCACGCCGCTGACGTTGCTTACAGCCTAGTCGCTGCCCGTAAAGTTATTGGAAACCTCCTCTCCCAAGACTATGTTGTCATCGGCCACAGTGAGGGAGGCATGACTGCATGGAGGACCAATGAGCGACTTGGAATGCCCAACCAGGACGAACTCAAGAGGGCAGGCAACTTTCTCGGCTCTGTTGCAAACTCACCGGCACTCCGTCCTCTCGACCTGATCTCTGAATCTGTCCGACGAGCAAACGGTGGACCTATTGGTGATGCAGTATCCGTCTTCTTTTTGCAGTCGCTTGCTGGGCTCTTCCCCAAGGAGTTCCGTATTGAAGACCACCTTACACCCCTTGCGCTAGCCCGAGTTCCTCTTGTCAACCAAGGCTGTATCTTTGCAGGCCGATCCCTCTTCGCAGGCCTGACTGGCGCGCAGCTATTCAAGAGCCTTGACTGGCTTAAGCTTCCCGTAGTCGTCGACTGGCAGAAACGTTTCAGTGGTGCCGGACCACATGCCCTCGCTGCGCCAATGCTGGTTGTTCAAGGCATCACTGATGCGCTTACTTACGCCAACAACACCGAGTGGGACTTTAACCAGACTTGCTCATCTTTCCCTAATACCAAGGCTACCCTCTTGCTTTACCCTGATTCGAACCACGACGTTACCAACAACGCAGCAATAGTTGATTCCATGAGGTGGATTCAGGACCGCTTCAACGGCGTGCCAGTCGAGGATGGCTGCCATAAGAAGACTATCCAGACACTTACCACAAGGCTCCGAAACATCAACACCTCCTACAACGGCACCGCCTAGAGATTTAGTTCTGTCTACATTAGTCAACCAGAAGTAGTAGAGGTATTTTAGCGTGGTGAGGAGTTGTATAGGGGTGGAAGAGAGGTGTGAGGAGTTAGAGGTGGAGTAGAGTTATTAAGACCTGAATTCCTACAAAATCCATGTATAAGCGACCATGATCCAAGAAAAGGCGACACTGAGGGCTTATTGACTCAATTCCCGTGCGGTGCCCTTGCGCCGCAGAATGTCTTCTCCGTGTCCTCGTGTTGTATCCATTATCAGCTCAGTTAATAGCTAAATCCGACCTTCCTGATTTCTGTTCATGATTGCTTCATTGCTGTCCTGTCCGCCGGACTTGTTTTGCATGAGCATCAGTTACTCTTTGCCAAATCAATCACCCTACATTTTGATTAAGCCTGAAATGACTACACAAAAGTTTTTTCTTGTTTCTGACTTCATTTTAGAGAACAATGAATTAGGGCTATAAAGTAACCATTTATATAGAATTTTACACGAGATGTAAAGTAAAATTTAAAATCTGATTTGTTGTCAACATACTGTCTTTGGGGAAAGTCTGACACGTACTTTAGATTACCGATAATCACATCCTACGTAGTGATCTTTGAAACCGCTTTCTGAATCTTACTACAATAAACCTGCAGTTAATGCTTTCTTTCGTCAGCTCATGATTTGAGTCGAGACAGAACGAAACCTGAGCACATCTCGCAATTCGCAACCTGCCATTTTCATGAAGCTCCCCATCACTGTTGCACGCCTCGGATAGCATGGTTTCGGTATTACTCATTCACTTATAGTACCAGAAATTCTGGTCAGCACTGCACCAGACGGCAACTCTTTTGCCCATATAACATGGATACCCCTGCTCAGCGGATACCAAGTCAGTCTTCGTGACAGTGCACGAATCGGCGAGGACCAGCGGATGATCCTTGGCAGCAAAATCGATATGACTCCAATGCTGACGACACGATACGGACGCGAGACTTCATCACGTTATCTGGTAAATCTGGTTGATCAGCCAGCTCGTGTGTTGCTCGCAGGTATGCGCCTTGCCTGTACTGATCAATATGAACCTTGCGCACAGGCCAATATCGCCTTCCCAACGTGCCTGTATATCGTTAAATTATGTTGAAGGGTACAATCTTGATCATATGTGAAATTTGGACGGTTATGAATCCTCCAAAAATGTAGAGATGCTCCTTATCGATGTCTTTAGGAGACGAAAAATTGAGATATATGATTTTCAGGCCTCAACAAAAAGCGAACTGATATTTTGAACTCTTATTCATGTTTCATGATCTTCACGTTAGGTATCTGTGTTACCAAAACCCTGCCAGTTTCTTATATCGAGGGCCTTTCGGAGGCACAGTCATGGCAACACAGAGGGAGAGAAACCTGTTCACTGCTTTGTGCTACCGTGCATATCTGGCGTTCACAAATTTGGTGCTCCTTGAAAATTTTGAATCTAGCACTAGCTTCATGTATAGAAGTAAAGATTATGCCTAGATCAGAATTAACCGGCTTGCTAACCCTCAACACTTGTCTGTTGTGGACCTTCCACCTCTATGCAAACAGAATTTTCCCAACCATGAAAGCAACTGCCCACTCAATGGATGATTTGAGCGACTAGTTCTCCACCATGTTCATCCCAAACATAGTCTATTTTAATCGATTGATTGGAACGGAAATTACGGGGCTAGATTTAAGTAAACACATAGAGCAATGGAAGTAGGCGGCATACATATTATAACCAGGCACGCCAGCCGCTCTAAAGTCTCACCTCGAGCGGTTATTATCCTTGCACTATTGTGTGGAAGTCTAGTCACCTCAGTTGTGAGACTGTCCTAATTAATAGCATCGATGTTCAATGTCTAGCCAGGTTAGCATATAGGAGCATTTACCAGTGCTTCATTCGAACTGAATATGAATGCACTTGCACTTCATCCCACAGAACGTACAGCGGAGTGTGAAACAGTTCCAATGCCTAATCCTAGATATATTAAGTGTCTTGTACAGGTAGAAGCTATTACTTTAAATCTAGTTAATTCTCTCTATATACGATATCTACTTGCAAACTTAAAAAGAACTATTAGAAGTGACTTAGGGTGCGAAGTCGCTTTGTTAGGAAAAGATACTTTAGCTAGTAGTAATCTTTAGGTTGAAAATCGTCTAGCCGCTTTTCTCTAAAGCGTATGTTCTATTAACGTATAACTAGGAGCGTTCGCTAAGTACTGTATAGTATGTATATTAGAACTTAGTCTAGAAAATACCTAACGGATATTTAACTAGGTAAGCAACTAGAGTATGCTTAGCTATATTGACGATCGCCTAAGGTAAATGCTATCGTTTAGGTCTGTAAGTTCTATTTAAATATAATGGAGTTAGTGTGGCTGTCTAAACATCCTGAATAGACCGCAGGTCCTAGCGATAGCCTTGCAGCGTTTATTGATGTTATTATATATATATAGTGCACTGACCTTAGTTGGCTTGTTAGCAGCGCAAATGGTGCTTACCAGCACAAGAGTGAGGGGGTAAAAGCTGCGTTTAAGTAGTGCAGCCAGCAAAGCAAGATAGGATGTATTGCGATTAGAATGAAACTTCTACGAGAACCTAACTAATTGTTATAACAACAGATAACCCCGTATAGTGTTAGATTTGGTAGGGGATAGGAAGTTCCTATATGCCTTCAACTGTATTTAGGGAGGCAGCTCCGTAGAAAAGGTCTTATCCTTGCTTTTTAGCAACCGAGAGTACGATGAGAATATTTCACTCGCGGGCAGGCGATACATGACATAAAAATCATCTCCCAAAAGAATCTTTATTTGGGGCGGTCTGGGAGGGGCTCAACGAGGTGCAGCACCAAAGGGTTTACAGTTTTCCACTCACTTGTCGCAAGGCAATTTGCTGTTTGATTTTATAGCTGGCCGGGCGGAACGATTGGCTGCGCGATACAGCCAATTCATGTCCGCTCAATGCCAAAAGAATTAAGGTGGATTGTCAAAACCCAATCTATGTGATAGGGTCCGGGCGGTTCGAAAACAGAGTAGTTCGAAGGACAGGACCGTGGATACGACTAATCATTGCAGAAAAGCTGGAAAATAGATTAGAGTCAGTGATAGTAGTAGTAGTAGTAGTAGTAGTAGTAGTAGTAGTAGTAGTAGTAGTAGTAGTAGTAGCGTCCATCGTGAGTCACAGAAATTTCCGGATTGATTATTGCTTAACATCACAGTGCACAGCCTGAATGGAGTGATCAATGTCGATCTCCTTATCTGTCCTTGGAGTACATGAGCTGGAATTTTTATGAAGCGAAAACAGACGCATGTGCTCGCCCTTTGCTGTGCCTTTTCGTGGTATTCTGCCTAGGGTATCGCGTGCCTCCTTCGCCGTTGATGCCTTGTCAGAGTGGCTATGTTATGGAGGTATCCTGTAATAAGAATTTGCTTTTTGAGTACGAATGCTTATAGAGTCTGCATCACAGGAGAGATAGAGGGTGGGCGATAGTATGAAGCCTTCACATGGCTACGGACCGTTGCATTTCCAGTGGAGATGATAGAAAGCTTTCATCCTGACCTTTCTGAAGGTATTTCAAAAGGCGTCCATAATGGCAAACATACTATCAAGATCTAACGCAACCGACTTGCTACCTCATGATCCATTAGTTGTGCTTTTGGAGCTTGATTTTAAGCTTCGCGCACCACCCCACCTCTCTTACTAATGGGTCCCAGTGGAGTTTTGAGATACCTACCACCGTCAATGACATATAAGACCTGATTAATAATGCTTCGCGATCGCATCATAGGAACCACACGTTTTCACCTAATTGACAGTTGACATCGTTGATTAGCTTAAAAGGCACTGCAATGCTGCTGCACGACCAGACACTAAAAGCAACCTGAGTGCTGCAGCTTGAAGCGTTAAACAAGACTTCTTCTGAGCCTCAATCGCGCAATATAAAACAGATATAGATGGTAGGAGTCATTTCTAAGGAACATTTGGAGGATTTTTTAGGCCAATGTGACGTTAGGGCGCAAATTAAGGTGAATTCTCGTAGCGGGAGTGCTGGAATAGGTGCCAGCAAAAATGGCAATATATATTGCCAGCACTACGGCGAGATAAGACATATATCGTGTACATGTGAGGAAGATGTAGTAGATGTCGTTAGACGATAAAATCTACTGCAGATTGCAATAGAGTGTAGTAGTGTTGAGTGATTGCTTGCAGGAGGCCCGACAGCTTGTCGAAGTGCGCAACCCGCTATGCGTTCACGTCGATGAGCAAGTCTGGTAACTATCTATTGATTGGCTCACGATCGAACTTAGTGCATAAGATCCTTGTCTGTTCTGGAAGAGCTGTAGCATCACACAGTTGCTTGAAACGAATCATGATAAGGCGTGCAGCAATCCAAACTTGAAGTATCTTAACGACGTTTAATTATCCCACGGTTCCATCAACTTAATACCCCATTCAGTTTTAGCAAAGTTTGGAATTGCTGAAGAATATGCGCACGGATTCAAAGTCAACTCTTCTTCGATAGTACATGCAAAGCAGCCAGACCATTGTTTGTGTGGATACGCGGCTATAACAGACTTAATATTGCTCTTGCTTATATAGGAGTGTGTTTACCCGCATTGTCCACCAGTTCAGTATGTATACTAAAAGTCCTCCTAGTAGGTTTTAAATTGCAAGGTCTATGCTTACCGAAAAGAGTAGCAAGCTAAATTAATTGTCCAACAGTAGTGATTGTACTAACAACTGTAGGGTCTTAGTGTCAAATCACTGCCTCTACTACGCTCCTAGGGTACTCTTTTGATATCCCAAACCTCTTTAGTATATTTAGTGCAAGGTATTCACTATAGAAATTAGAAAATAGGAGAGTTGCACGAAGGTTTTCCGGGGTAGCACCACTATCGTGAAGGAGACATGTTAGGTGGTAGGTTTCTAGACGGAGTAGAAATGAACCCAGGTACTTTTGAGCAATTGAGGTGCCTTTTCATCGGGTTAGCTCTGCCCGGAAGTCTTCGTATTCCCCGGAGAAAAATCTCATCATGTACACCCGCCTAGAGTTTAAACCTCTTCTGAAAGTCGCTTCTTTGCATAATAATGGACCATGCTTGCGAGTTTGGTCTGTGAAATCTGGATATCCGTCACGTCGTACACAGCGGGGTCCCACTGACTAACATCTTTTAGAAGAACAGACGTGTCATGTGGGTCTAAGGTCCACCCGTAAGACTCGAGAGTCTTTGCAGACTGACCGACAGGTTAAGACATGAAAGAAGTATCGATCGGATCAAGGACGAGAAAGACGTGTATTTCCTATATGTGTGATTTCAAGACGTGTTGCTCTCTGTAGTCGTACTGCCTTTCATAAATGCTGTTGGAGACTTCCTTCCCCTTTATTCTGATTCATTACCGCCCATGCCCGAGGGCCAAGAACGATTGCAAAGCAAGTCGGTTCGTATAATCTTAGTAATCCGGCCTTGTATGATAGTGGCTCCTAAGTAGTTTGCTTGCAGTGCCTTGGGGCGTAGTCGGTGATTGTACAGAAAAGATATCAGTACGATAGGGCGCGTGATTACGCAGTGACAGCGTAACAGGCTGCTTGGGGATATTGCATCTGTCACGAAGGGCGTGTGACGGTATCGCCGCGATTGGTAACGAACACTAGCCCACCGCACCTCTCGAGAGCTTAATATTTTTGGGTGTTAGTGGTTGCGGTAGCTTTTTGCGCCTTTCAGCCTGACTAGCAGATGTTCCCGAGTGCAATCCACTAGCATGTACAGTGTAGTGTGTTGTTCCCGTTTTGGACGAAAGGCGTGGGGCCTCACCTACGTGATTTGCGAAGCTGATTCGACATTTCCGGCATTTGTTTGTGCCTGAAGGACGGCTTACTATTGCCAGGTTAGGCGAAAGGCGTATTTGGGAAGATCACAGAGTTTTGCATTGCGCTCCATACGATTTGTAATCCGTATTGGAGCGCGGCAACGTTCGAAATCATCCTGATTCTACATGGCGCATTTGAAGCCGCCGGGTTGCATGAATACACTATTCGCTCAGTTGGTGATCGGCTGATATTTTTGACCACAAACATGGCTATCTCGACACCAATATTAATTCCGGGTATTGCTCGACTAAAATCATCCAGTAGTATCACTGTGTGCTTGCCCCCCCTTCGGACACCGCACGCCGAACAAGGATGGAAACGGATGCTCAACGTCGATAACTTTCGAGTCATCCTGAGGTTCAATATCGGCTACGATACGACCATCTTCCCTGGTGAACGGCATCGCATCGACTCGGCGGGCTGCTCCTAGCTTCTATGCTATACGGTTGCTTGACCGGCTGAGCTGGTAGACGGAGAACGGCAGAAGCCCAACAGTGGTTCCATCAATGAGCTCTTCGGCCAGAATAGCATCCACTCGTCATATTCTGGCAGTGGCAAGGATCCGGAAATCCCGGTAGATGCAAAGTCGAAAGGAATTCTTGGCCTTCTCTCCGAAGAGACTGTCGGAAGAGGATTTCCCAAGGCCCTCAGCTACCAGGATATCCAGATGATGATTGTTCAATACCTAAACACTGGACAATGCATACAAGCTTATGAATTTTAGGTTCATCCGCCACACGGGCGCCAACAAGCCCAAGTCGTACGTCCACTTGCTCGAAGTGTCCACAAGATCTAGGTTCTGTACCCACTCGATTTGCTGACGATGAATTCTAGGACCATTTTTTACTGCGCCCCAGCCAAAAGGCTCATCTTTTGCGTCATTTCAAGGAATATCACCCTCGCCCTCCACGACAATACATTTGGTGTGCCGTGTCTGACAGGCGCAGCAGCCATCTTTCGGTCCAAACCGCCAGGTTTTAAACACCATATCCTACTTTGATTAAAGATATGTGAGTTACTGCAACCATTCTTTCGTCGTTGTCATGGTGCAGAGCTCTGCGACAATGAGGCTATGCTATATTCCAAGCTCTGAAATGACATTGGTTAGCGAAGCCTCGATTCAGGACACGGGAAAAGATGAACACCGCGATTCGCTCAGAGGGGTGTGGAAAATGCAGCCAACGGTGTATTTTTACTCGCCCTGCGCGAGTGTCCGTGGAGCTATGCTTTGCCGTCATGATAGACGAGGTACTGATTACTTTCATTGCAGGAGACACACTCGACCCTGTTGGCGACCAAATGATGCGCCAAGATCCTGGCTTCACGTCTTTTCACAGTATTTACCTGAATGAGATCGCCAATTTCGAGATCCAAATTCATTTGTTGGAAGTCAAAAAGGAAAGCTAACTTTCTCGTTGGTTTGCACATGTCAGCCTTCCGCGTGATCCTCGGAGCACTTCAGCCATGGTGCCCGATGAAGTCTGAGCTAATTTGGCACCAGACCCAAAGATCTCATCTCTCAAACAGCAGTGAGCACATCTGAAAAAGAGCTGATATCAGATTGAAGGCTGTAAGGATGAAGAACAGGTCCGGCAGATCTCCAACCAGATCCGCACAAAGCGGGCGCAGCGCAACAAGCAAGTCGTCAAAGAATACCACAAAGATGGCCTCTATAAGTTTTCCACCTAGGATACCAAGCGCTAGGCACAGGGTGAGAAATAAAATTACATCGAGTCTGATCTCGATGCACACACTCCAGAGCTTGCGAGGCTCGCGAACATGGTGCATCAGCAGTAGCCTGATGGGCTGAAAGACGATCAATTACTTAAGAGAAGGATTGAGGCTGTACAACTTATGGTGGATGTATGTGACAAATACGAAACAGTCAAGCGTCAACGCATTTAAAGAATGAGATTCATACAGACTATCAAATTCGAGTCACCCGAGTCGGCAAGTGAGCGTCGATCCACACCCGATCAGTTTCCAATACTTATGCAAGGGACCTAATGCCCAGACTACATCTGTGACGAGCGGTTGTCTTTTGAGGAGGGGGGGATCTTTTCATAATCTCATCCAACCGTCAGGAACGACTACTTGGACGATAGGCATCTCGTTGGGCGTGAGCAGGCCGAGCAAAGTGCCGAGAAGATGATGTGTACATATTCTGCTGATAGAGCTGTGAACTAAGGTCAAAGTCTTGAACTCTAAAACATGGATCATTTTCGGGCCCATGTTCAAAAGGGTCATATCATTACACTACGATCTTCCGACCAAATGTATCAAAGACGATTGCGCAAGGGAAGCACCGCAAAATGGCCATAGAATATGCTAACATGAAAGCCTAGGTCAAATGGATCAGAATTGGTCGATCTTGATATCTTGTGACACGTATAGTGCATCAGAGACCGATTTCCAGATTACCTACCAGCCGCTGTATGTGATATTCGCTTTTTGAAGCAAGCTATTTACCTCAGTAGTATTAAAATCGCCGAGCACAGATTGTCTAAAGCTTTTCGTCCTAATATTCGGTGCCATGGGTTGTTTGTACTACGAGAGCCAGAAAATATATAAAATCCTCAAAGAGTTGGTCAGTCCCGGAATGAACCCCAGGAGCATCAACAAAGCGTCGCATCCACAGATGGTGATATTGGGAAGGGCTACTACCAGAGAGTAAAGACTGAATAACCGTATGATTGGTGAACTTGGGCTCAACGAATATTGTGTAATTTCAAAAATTAGTTTACAACCAAGCTGACTAGTTTTTAAACCAGGCTTCCGGGTAGTATAACCTGTGTAAAAGACGACAAATCTCGGAAACCATCAGCCAATCGTCTTGGGATCCTGAGCAGCCTCGATGTGCTCCTGTTCCATTTCTCCAACCTCCTTCAAGCTCAGTCCATCGACTGTTGGCGCCTCCATCGCCGATTGAGTGTGATTCGTCATGTAAGGCGTAGGATCCTCGACCATGAATGATGCAGCAAGTGCCACCACACCGAATGGGATCGTAATATAGAACACAAATTGAAATGCGCGCCCATATGCGTGGCGTACTGCGAGTTTCAATGTCTCTGCAATAGCAGGTGTCATGCCCTCGATCGATCCCAGGGACGCTGCGTACGGCACTCCGATGTTGTACGTGATAGCGCCGGGAATGATTGCGCCAAGATCAGTTGCATTTAAGCCTGCAGCGATGGCAGCTCGAGGGATATCCTCACTGGAGTATGTATTGAACTTGTTCTGGAAGATGGTGTTGAATATGGCATTGCCAACGGCGCCGCCAGCTGAGCGGAACGTGCCCAGAAGACCCATGGCAACACCGAGATGCGAGTATGGTACGTGCAGACTAGCAATGGCATATCCCAGAATGGTAACCATGAGGAACATTGGAACCCCAAAACCCGGGACAAACGCCCACGCGATCTTGTGGTTTGGGTTAACGGTGGCTGCGCTTGCTCCGATGAAGATGAGCTGCAAGGCCGTACCGATGACGAACAGCCATTTGATGTGTCCAATCCTGTGAGCGAATATTGGGATGATGACGCTGACTACGATGCCGACGATGTTGTTAGGGAGGGCGAGGACGCCGATTTCAATGCCGTTCGTTGTGAACATGTACATTGTGCCTTGAGGTAGGAGGGCGGAGAGCGAGTTGAAGTTCATGCCAGAGATGAACAGAACGATGCAGATGCACAGAAATCCGCGCCATAACTTAAAGAGCCTTAGCGGGAAGATGGGGTTCTTTGCAATGGTGAAGTCATAGGCAAAACCACAGGCAAGAACTGCTAAACCGAGGAGCATGGGCGCGAGAACCGATGCTCCATGCCATGGGTGGCCTGCAGACCCGGCCCAGGTCAGGCCAACGAGGCAAGTTGCCAGGCCAGTAGTGAAGAGTGCGAGACCGAGCCAGTCAACCTCCAGAAACTGCTGCCATCGGGTCTTGTCGTAGTCGCCACGGGGACGGGATACTGGGTTGTAGAAGAAGGCTGTGCCGACGAATGTAATGCTCTCGTTAATGATGGAAATGTAGAAAATCCAACGCCATGTGGTATATTTGAGGAGAATGTTGGCAAACAGCACGTTGAATGAGCCCCTACAACAAATCATATAGTATCAGCGTTTGAGAATGATGTGTATTAGGGGCATATTGGAAGGACTTACCAAGGAATCATGATGCCGCCCTCGAGGATGCCAACACCAACAGATCGCCACTTGTTGGGAAGCATTTCTGTAGCTCCAGAATAAGACACAAAGACGAAACCAGCTCCAGCGCCAATGACGGTCTCAGCTGCAACCAGGCTGGCAACGCTCTGAGCTGTCGCACCCACAATAGAGCCAATAAGCACAACGATCTGGCCGGCAAGGACAAGGATCTTGCGTCCAAAGACATCACTGAGGGGACCGGCAATGGAGAAAGAGCAGGCACTGGCTAGCGACCAGGCACCGACAATCCAGGCAAAATTCACGTCATCACCCAGATCTCGCGAGACCTGGACGACAATGGCGGCGATACAGGTGAAGGGGAGGGGGACTGCAGGGCCAAAGGACGCGGCCATACACTGTACGTTCGTTCTTTGATCAGCATGCTATCAGAGATATCGACGTGTTGGTTGTTTCACGGGATTATGAGACGCACAAATATGGAAATCCATGTCCTGACTGTCGTTGAGGTTGTTTCGGGGTTGTCTTCGATGGCGGCGCGATGCGTGTCGTCTTCAAAATGAACCTTGGACTGTGCATGCGCCGCAAGCAGCTCTTTGTTTTGTTGGCCTTTCGCCATGGCGATGTTAATTTTGATGTATGAAATTCCCTACTGTCAATGCTCTCGGATCAGTGATTGCGTCTTCTTTTCCCAAACCGAGCCAGAAACACGGCGTACTTATTGACATTTCCCCCGCTTGGCACGGGCGCATACTTAACAGGGGATGTTCAATATGATCCCGGCAGTTCCTAAGTGTATTGCATCTGCCGACATTTCAAATCGAAGCCGAAACGCCGAACAAGTGCTTAGTGACATTCCCCCACCTGGCACGGACGCATAATGAACGGCTGACGTTCAATATGACCCCGGGCGTTCCCAAGTGCATTTTAATGTGTATCTGCCGACATGTGAAACCAGGGCCGAATCGCCGAACGAGCCGCGGGGTCGCCAAACTTGGATTCCCACCTCCCCGCACTGTGGGGAAGTGGAGAGGGCTAAGCCATAGTCTGTGGGATATATGGGGCTAGTTCTTACAGTAAGCAACCTGCTGTGCTCATTACTAGCCATGCTACTGTTGAACTATAAGTTGAGGCTGAAAGCTCGAGGAATCTAAGGGATAAGTACGTTGCGAGCCCGTCAGATAACCCAACAGATTAGTAAGGCTAAGTTTATCTAGCCGCAATGATACGGGTATAGTAGTAGAGGAATAGAAGTACGCTAGTAAGTAGGTAATAGTAGAGGTATAGTAGAGTTGCTTAGATCTGGGTAGTGGTTGGGTAGGGTAGTAATTACATGTGACTCCAACTCTACCTCTACCTCTACTTATTACTATTAGGTTTTTAATACCTAACCAATGGTGGTGTTTGTGACGATGGCGATCCGGCGTTGCTCCAGATTGGGTGCTGCCTGATAAGCATCGATTATGACGTAATGCAGGAAACAATCTTACGTAAGTCATTGTGCGAGACACGTTTTCATGCCAATCGCAGTAAAAGAACCAATTTGTTCTTACTATTCCTGACCTACGAGACAAAACAGACTCTACAGCCTGTTTAGCTTTGATATCGTAATATGTTTTCCGACTTAGCTAACGAGCTGGTTATCTCTATAGCAGAAAACCTGTGCTTAGAACGAGACATTAACACCTTCGCACGAACTGATCGCCGTCTTTATCACCTACTGAACAAATATCTCTACCGCCATAATGTACAGCATGGAGAGTCATCAGCTCTACTATGGGCCTCTGCACACGGACGACTGGAAACCGTACGAAAAATTCTGGAAGTGGGTGCGCCTACCGAAGTTTCTGACAACGACGGTCGCACACCTCTATTGCAAGCAGCAGAGAGAGGGTTCAGTGGAATTGTTGAGCTGTTAGTCAATGCGGGAGCCAACGTCAATTCAAAAAGCAGAACCTATGGCAACGCACTCTATCTAGCATCCGCAAAGTGCCATATCCAGGTGGTAAGGATCCTACTAAATGAGGGCGCCGACATTGACGCGGAAGGTGGCTTTTACGGATACGCACTCCAAGCAGCTTCTGTAGAAGGCCACAAGCAGCTGGTTGAGCTTTTAATCGAGAAAGGTGCTGATATCAATGCTCGTGGAGGGTATCTTGATACCGCGCTTCAGGCAGCTTCAGCTGAAGGCCAGGAAGACATTGTACAGATACTACTCGCGAACGGCGCCAATGCAAACTTGCAGGGTGGCTACTACGGCAATGCGATTCAGGCGGCTTCAGCCTCAGGCCACATTCAAATAATGCAGCTTCTGCTTAACGCTGGCGCTATGGATTTTACGCAAGCAGGACACCATGGCAGTGCACTTTTTGCGGCTTTGAATAGTGGCAGCGAACGAGCTGTAGAAATGCTGCTTGATGCTACTGCTCGTACCATCAATAAGGGAAAAAACGAAGAACACAAAGCCATTTGGAGAGAGGAGTACTGCAGAGTACTACACGAGGCATCAGCGAAAGGACAAGAGGTAGTGGTCAGACTGTTACTTGAAGCTGGTGCTCCTGTTGATGCACAAAGAGGACGCGATGGCAATGCACTCCAAGTGGCTTCAGCGGGGGGGTTTGACAAGGTAGTCACTCTACTGCTGAGGGCTGGCGCCCACGTCAACGCGCAGGGTGGACCCTATGGCAATGCGCTCCAAGCAGCTTCATTCGGAGGTTTTAAGGAGACAGTCAAATTGCTGCTCAAAGCAGGCGCCCACGTGAACGCACAAGGAGGACGCTATTGTAATGCACTCCAAGCAGCCTCAGTCGGAGGCTCTGAGGAGACAGTCGGATTGCTGCTAAGTGCGGGCGCCCACACTAATGCGGAGGGAGGGCCCTATGGCAATGCACTGATAGCAGCTTCAGCCAAAGGTCGAGATGACGTAATAGAGCTGTTGCTTCGTGGCGGAATGAATATCAACTTGCCGGCTGGAATTCATGGTAGCGCCCTTTATATGGCTTCTGCTCGTGGTAGTAAGCGGGTGGTAAAACAGCTAATCGATGCCGGTGCTAACATCGACGCCGAGGGTGGAGACTACGGAAAAGCACTTTGTGTGGCTTCGGCAGAGGGGCATATCGATGTGATGAGGCTGCTAATAGATGCTGGATCAGATGTAAATGCCCAGGGAGGACAGCATGGCAATGCGCTTTGCGCGGCTTCAGCTAATGGTCGAGAGCAAGCCGTGAAATTGTTGCTCGTCGCCGGAGCTCATGTAGACGATCAAGGAGGACGATATGGTAACGCTCTTCAAGCAGCCTCTTTTGGTGGCTATGAACGGGTTGTTGAAGTACTGCTCAACGCTGGTGCTGAGGTTAATGCTGAGGGTGGACACTATGGCAATGCACTCCAAGCAGGTGCGTGGCGAGGTAATGAGAAGGTGGTGAGTCTATTGCTTGACGCGGGTGCCAACGTCAACGCACAAGGGGGGGAGTATGGCAGCGCCCTCCAGGCCGCTCTAGAAATGGGCCATGAGCACATAGTAAAGATGCTATACGACGAGGGTGCGCACGAAGCTGCAGACGGGGACGAAGACGAGGCTTTAGATGAGGACGACGACGAGACTTTAGATGAGGACGA